CAACAAGCAAGACAAATTCGGGGGAAGGCGATCGATCAAGAATTAAGAGGCTGAACTTGAATGGTCACCAACTGGGCTGTGTGCGGGGGACTTGAAACCTTGCATCATCTGGGGTGCAGGGGATATGATTGGTCGATATGGATATGGAAATCGTGCCGTCTCATCTCTTCTCCAGGCCTTCTAGAAAGAGAATCGAAGGTGAGGCTTAAAGCATGTGAATTCTAGATCTGGGGATGGGAGGATAGAGGTAACACATGTAGGATTGCGTAACCTGTTAGAATCGGGGTTTCTTATCTATCCTCTCACTCTACTAGCTAGAGTGATCATAGCCTTGTGGAGTGGGTTGGACTACCGATATTTCTGGGATATACGCCCATGGGCTTAAAGCAAAGTGATGGGAGGAAAACTGGTGGTGTATGCATATTCCCGTGATTTAAGCCAATCAGCAAGCACTTTTCTACCAGTACTTTGCTTTAAGCCCATAGGCAGAAATATCGGTACCTAAAGAATGACCACTACTAATCAATCAGCAAAATCATTATGTTATTTGTTCTGTCCTGCTTCTTAATTTGATATACGTGGATCCTTATATCCTCCGAAACAAATCGGCATCTCACCTACCGGCATAGAATTTATTAAAGCCCCGTATTTAGGGACGGGGGCATCGATTAGACGCCTTGGCTTGCATATATCCACCAGAGTACAGACGGTAGAGCTTGCCCATCAACGAGCGCTGCCCATCAGCGAGCGTCCACCAAACTTTGGTGGGTGGCAACCGTTGCATCCTGGGGGTAGCGGGGCAACGCTCGCTCGCTGATGGGCAGTGCTCGCTGATGGGCAAGCTGGTCTATATCCGCACGACGTCGAACAAACTGCGCCACTAGTACCCTGTGGTTCATCCCCCCGGCCCCGATGAAATGGTTATGCCTCGAGGCATGTGCATACTGATACCTACTCTAGACTGGACACAGTAGGTACTCGGGGCAGGCAAAAAGTACCGGACAATGCAAGTTTTGTCTCTGGGCTTTTTTTTGCAGTAGTTCACGCCTAGCACGCGCGCCATTGGTAAACCAAAAACCTACATTGTCCGGTACTTTTTACCTACCCCGAGTAGGTACCTAGAGTATGTGGTCTCAGCCACGAGATGTCGCCCTAAGACTCTAGAGTACCTAGTTCACTCGTAAAAAGTACGATTATTCCCTCATGGTAGCAACGGAGTCCTCCGATATCAATATCCGTGCTCCAAATAGTATCCGGTGCAGTCTCTTGGCAACACCTCCAACCAGATGATTTATTCGATGAGGACATTGCGTGACATTGCACATCGGGAGGTCTTTTTCGGACTGGGAATCTCCGCAAGTGCATAACTCAACAGTTATGCAGTAGGGTGCCACAAAGTGCAGTTGATGCAAAAACTCAGTCATGACTTGCACTTCGACTGATGAGGCACTTTGAAAGGCATGCTCCAAGCCACCCTGGCGCCTGGTTTGTTAACAAACAACCCGTGGTCAAGTTTAGGTTTATTTCAGGATGCTCAAGCTCTGCTCTACTCTACACTTGAAATGAAATAGCGCTACATAATCTGTTCAATTTATTATGTGAGTTATCAATTCCGACCACAAGCGCTCCCGTTGGAGTAAACTTACCTATGGATATATCTACACTAGGTTGATCTCTCTGGTATCTGGTTTTGAGGGATCTACACCCTATTTGATCTACGTTGGTTTAAGTTATAACTATAACGGTACTGTGCGGCTGCCGCCAAATCAGCATTGCCGTTACCTCCAACGGGGAATATAACTAGCTATAGAAATATCAGGTAGTATGATAATTATTTAGTTCAGTCCCGCCCTAGAGATGACCTACTGCAAAATTTATGGGTAGGTATTAGATTCAGTCGATATATTCTATCAGCCAATTATTTTCCGTTGAACGTTGAGAGGGTAATTATATCTACCTATCATTTTGTCCAGCAGCAGGATCAACACCCTTGGACTTAGAGAGGGAAGATCGCCAATATTAATCATGGAGGAACCAAACAAGACCATGGCCACTATCTACCCAAATGACCTCGTACCTAGATTACATGTAGCTCTTTAGGCGTAGGGAGATAGAGTAGGTAGTGATAAGTTGCATGGTGATGATGTAGATCAGGATCAAGAAATTTCATATGTAGCCTTGAGATGAGTTCGAAGTGAGCCTCTGTCCTACAGACTATGGGGAAGCTAGAAAAATTGGATATCCACTCGAATAGTCAGTTTTTGAATTAGGTACTCCAAGCCCGAGTGTAAACCGCGAGGTCGGTATGGGCGCTAGTACACCTACATGGCGAATCTTCGAGATAGTTAATTGACTTAGAACTAGAAGCGGGAGCAAATATTGAAGATCTCGCCATGCAAGTATTTTTTCCCATCCTAGGGAAATCTCTTTTACTCATTAGTATAAAACCCATAATCTTTCTAATGTTCTGTTCGAATTTTTCTGTTGGTTTTCTCGCTTCCGTTCGGTCATCCTCTATGTCTCTAGCCTAGCTACCTACTCGAGAACGCACCCTCTCACTCGAACAAGTAAAACCAGAATACGTATATACAACCATCAATCAACCTACCATACAGTATTCGGCCAACCATGAATCTGCTCGAGTAGCGAGCGGGATCGAATGGCTAGAGAAAGATGTCTACTCATACAGGATTCGCTGTCACTCGACGAACAGCGTCGGGGGTATTGGTCCAATCTAAATCAATACAAACGAGAAGATCTAGTGGTTAGCTGCTTCTTATCATATTGGTAACCTTTTTTCCTTAACAGGAAGTACATGTATCTATCAACCCGCGGCGAACGGCTATGCGTGTATCTCATCACTCGCCACCGTGTATCTTCCCGGTCCCTTGACCGACCTTCAATTAATCCGCACTATAAAAAGTTTTCTTTAGAGTACAGACGCAATGTTTAGAGATGAAGCTAATGGGTTTAGTCAGACTCTCAAGCGTGGAACACTTTAGAAAACGAGGATTTCCATCCCCAAGTAGGCCCATTGGCTCTTTTCGATGACAAGGATATGTATCTAAGGGTTATATGATCGAATTTAACGATATTGCGCATGGCACGCTTGCTGAAATATAAATTATGGCCCAAGACACCTTGAGTAGAGGCTACGTCAACTCTCGAAAACAGATTGTATATGGAAACAGGTATGTACTTTAAATTTAGCAACCTTGACCTTACTCGTACTAAATTATTTTTAGGCGTTAGGTCTTGGGGCCTCTACAAATCGGCTAGGCAATGTTCTTAGAGTTATGTTATGTAGTAAACCTACTCCCAGATGTGCCTCGAGTAATATCATTATAAACAGTCTCAACATGCATCTATCTTTCCCCTCTACAGGAACACCTTAGTGGGAACAGTTATCTCAGAGGGGCAGCACACCACACAAGGCACCACGCCCCCAAAACGGATACCATCTATAGTATTTCAGCATTATCAGCTCTGGAGGCACAATCGCGATCGACAAACGATGTATTTGCGGGGGAGCTTCACTTAAATATGCCACTTGTTCCGTCTTAGTGAGCCAATATATAAGCCCACTCTTGATACGGCTATTTATAGACTCTTCGGATGCAGCTCAAAGGGTTTTGCGTCACTAGTCATCACTCGGGTTGAGAATGTAGACACCAAGAAAGAGATGCTGGATAGGACACCCAATCAGTAGGATCCGAGTTTATAGGTACCTACATGTACTCCAGGTAGATAGACACGGGCGGCGAATCAAAATGCATGCTAGCTACATGTAATTCAGCGAATATTATGCCGCTTACACCACGTCTCGAAATTCACCAACAACCCTCCCCTATATATCGGCCATGCGGGTATCCGGTCTACAGAAATTTCGAAAAGCGCTAAATTTATGGGCCATCTGCCAATTACTTGTACTATTCCCCCTTAAAGTGCTAATGCACGATAAACTTGGCGGTTCCACATCGTGAACGTGAAGTGCAACCACAATCACTAGACTAACTTGATTCAATTCAAATATTTGCGTAGTCTAAGTTACTAATCCAAAAGTAAAAAATAAAAGATACTACTGTAAGTTAGATAGCTGATGTAACACATCATGATAGATCACTCGACATCTTGCTTACATGTACTTGTCTCAAATCTTGCATCCTGGAGGGGTTGTAATTGGTGGATACAATTACCGATAAACTAATTTCTCCTGCGTTATTTTTCTTTTCACCGTGCACCGGCAGCACACACATATTGATATGTATCCTTTTCATGTCTCTGTTTAATTTTGACCGATCTAAAGGTAAAACAAAGCTTGAAGGGAGGAAATTTGCGAATCCTAGCTTGATCCCCTAGTTAGGTACCCGGCCGGCGGCGGGAGTTATCACGCCTTGCAACAAGGTATGTACTTTACTTGAGTGTCTACTTTCCCAAATATTACTCATCCTCTTAGAAGATGATTAGTTAAAATCACAAAAGTTAACAACTGGACCATGGAAAAATACCCAGCCTTGCTGCCACCTACAAGCATTGAATACCATTGGGAAGAGAAACCATAGAACGCACAACCCTGCCCTTCCCACGCCTTATGAACAGACCAATGTTTTTGCCCTCTTTTCTCCTTGGCTATCAAAGTGTAAAAATGAAATCTTGAAGATCGTACGAGAATCCCGAAACTAGTAAGACAAGAATAAATGGTCAAAGGTAGAAAGAAAAGGGTCTGAGATTACTAATGATAAAAACCGACAATAATCAATAATGGGGCAATAAAATGAAAAATCATGTCAAAGAAAAATGCAAATGTTTTTTATACCCAATACAAAAGAAAGTAAACACATCCCACAGCCCTGTCCACTAATTGATAGATATTGTACCATCTCGGGGAAATATCGAAAGAAATAAAACTCCGCCGCAATAAACAATCTAAGGAAAAATAGTCCCAAAATAAACCTCAAACCACCCCCTACTCAGCCCCATCGTGTATTGGAGTTTTGCCCTCAATTCACATATTCCCTCCTCAACACAAATACACCCATTTCAATTCCCCTTTCCTTAACTCTCCTCTCACCAATAATGCCCCCACTGACAACATCAAAATCCCCGACAACGCCCCCAACTCCTAGTGCAGAGGTACCTGACATTGCGCTTGCCACTACAGCCTCACTCATTCCCCTGGAAGAAGGCCGAACGGTGGGCGCGCGAACGCCGTCAAGAACTTCCCTTGCCAAATCTCCTGGCGCACCATATCCAAAGGAATATTGCATTCCGGAAGATGTGGGCGAAGTTGAAGATGTTGGTGATGGGGGTGGTCCCTTTGCCGACTGAGTCGAAGGTGGCCCTCGTGATGTCTTCTTAGGGCTCGAATTAGGTGATGATTCTCCTGGTGGTTGAAGGTTCGACATGTGGCTTTTTACCGCCTCCCTAATCCTCAGTTGTTCCTGCTGAGTCCACCATTCCCTCCAGCTGTTGTCGTTCAAAGGAATGTTCTCCTTGCTAGCATGTACTAACTTAAAAACGGTATTTGGTTGACCTGAAAAGTCCCTTGATTTCTGTTTTTGGGAAGAAGAAACCTTCCTACAAATCATTTTGAGTGCCGTCTTCAAACCCTCGAAATCCCTCATTCCATTTATTGCGGACATGTTTCTAATACCCCATAACAAGTCTTCTCGGAGCATGTATAGAACCATCAATTTTCTCAATAATGGGTCTAACACAGGGCCCAAATATTGTCTATCAAAGTCTTTTGCTCCTTTCTTTGTTGGGTAGATAAACAATAAGCTTCCTCCCTTTGGCGATAACTCAAATAGTCTGTCAAGAAGAATTGATGAGGCCAGAGAAAACATGTCTTTGTCCTCCTCAAGTGATGTCGGCGGAATGTACCTTTCCAGAAGCGTAAGATGTAGACTTGATGGTGGCATGATGGGGTTCGGTAACGGCGTTGAAACTGATAAAATACCTGCCCCAGGTGTGGAAGTATTACTCCCAGGAGCAACAACAATACTGTTGAAGACACTGGGCGAAAAATAGCCTCCTGCACCCCCAGATGGACGATCGAACGCACTTCCTATGCTGGGGGTCGACGGGAGCCTGTTCAATGGAATATGTGGTGATATTGCGTGATGAACATGTATGAATACCCTTTTTGACTCCTCCTTTGAGTGGCGTCTTTGGATGCCATTAGTAAGGGTATGCAAAGCGGTGGTTACCCCGTCATCTACTCCAATTAATCCAGTTGGTGTGGAAGATCCACTGTGTTCTTTGACTTTGGAGTAGCATCTCGCAGCGATTGCTGGCGATAATTGCTGTCCAGCTGCGGCTGCGACTGCGGGTGCTGAAGCAGCTGATGCCGGTAGCATGTTCGAATTTGTTGATGTGGATGTGACAGTACTCTGGTCCGTAGAACTTGTACTGGGTAGTGGACAAGGGAGCGAATAGGAGAGCATCCGAACAGTAGAAGAATCTATTTTTACAGAAAGAGGAGTGTCGACTATTACGGAGGCGACATTTGTAAGACACTGGTAAGCCGAGAGGAATAATAGAGAGAGAGGGGGGGGGGGGGGGGGGGGACGACAAACATAGAGCTGCCATAGCATTTCCTAACCACCCATCTTCCGCAAAACCTGGGAGACCTGGACTATCCTTGTCATCCTTTGCTGGCTTGTCAACAGCAGGATCATCTTTCTCGCTAACTGCATCTCGTTTGACGGACCGACTCTTTTCTCCAGCTTCCTCGCCATCATTCTCGTTTTTTTTCGTGGAAGGCGTGGCGGTGTCTAAGTTATCAACAGTTTTTTTTATCCCCGCAACTCGCTTTCTTGAGTTATCACCACTTGTGATGACCTCCGAATCGAACCTTTCGTGAATTGGTGGTGGCTTCCGGACCGATTGTATGCCGACTGGAACAATCACGTCACTGGAGGCTTCTTCTCTTCTCCACTCTATGACTCCACTATCATCCGGCGGTGTTAGAAGAGCCAAACTTCCTGGGGCCAAATGTGGGTTCGCAGCTAAAAGCGCAGCTGCAGCACCTCCCATCATGATTTCATGAGCAATTCCAATACCACCCTCAGCAGAATCCAGACCCCTTCCATCCCTTCCATTACCTCCGCATAAAACGGGCATGTTGTTGAGGCCAGTATCAGGAGTGGTAGGGAATGCGATCCCAAGTAAAGACTGTCTGAAGCGCTGCTGATCATGAAGTACACCACCTACGCCATTCCCCTCATTTTCTGTTTTTCTCTCAAGTAATGTTGTTGGGATAGCAACGCCAAACATATCAATAATCTGAGGAGGTGGAAGAGTTAACCGTAATCTGTGGGAAGATCTCGAGGAGTTTCTGACATGTCTAGTTACGTTTGATGTTTCTGGGCGTATATGAGGAAGCTGGGGATGCGGTGCTGATACTGTATGTCGAGAACTAAGACGAGCCCCAGCTATTTCAGCAGCCGAAGAGGAAGCGGAATTCACTGAATTCTCAAAAGCCCCCGAGCTAGAATCTGGCTGTTCGTAGAAATATCCCCAAGGGGAGTTTGATTGCAATCTTTCGCCAGGTGTTAAAGAGCCCCCGTCTTCACTCACCACCTCACTTCCACGACGATTCCTTTGGCTCATTGTGCTGCCTAATCCTATAGAAAATGCGCCGGGCGAAGGGGTTGTACTAGTAGACCCAAATGCGACCGCTGAAGTCACCGCCGGAGGGCTTGAGCCAGAAGGCCTGCTCGCCAATAGTGGGATACACGATGAAGAAGCGGAGGAAGTCAGTCTTATCGGTGAAGGTGGGGTAGTTTTCCGTCTCGGGCCGGAGGAAGATTGAGGGCGAGGTCGACACGATTCAGCCATTGGTAATTAAGGGTGACTGTCGTCCGGAAAAAAACAGATAGTTGTGGTTCGTGATGATTCTTGATAACCCCTCCTCTTCACTCCCACCACAAGAAAGTGAAGGCTGGTAGTACAACAAAGATGTGATAGGGCCTGACTCTAAGGAGTATGTAAGTACTGCTGTACATATGTACTGAACGAGATTGAGGCTTTTTTTTCTTTTTCTGTTTTCTGTTTCCTTTTTTCTTTTTTACGTTGCGGTTACGTTTGTAAGGAGAGGGATCGTGGGGGCGATATTACCTATTGAATTTCAAGAGCCAGAAACTTATAATCCGGAGAGCTTTCCAGAGAAACGATTTTTTCTGATATTGCTGTTAGTCTATTCCGCGCTTCGTCTCTCACAAAAGGTAAGGGCAGGAAATAAGGTCTGTGAATATATGAGGAGGAAAAGGGAGGAGGCAGGCATGAGCGGCGAGAAGTAAGTAGGCAAGTGAGGGAAATGGTTGTATGTGGTTGAATTAAAGTGATGAGTCGTTTGGATTGGAGGGAACCCCTCGTCTGGGCGGTTGAATAGGACTGGCTGCCAGCCGTCAAGGGAACACGTTGACAAGGACAAATGCAAAAGTCTTACCGCCAGCCGTCACCCCGAACACCACAGCGAATGTATTTAGGGAGATCAAGAAACCTGATATATGGTTCCTTTCTATTTGAAAGATCGGTGGATCTTCGGTATGTGTCTTGAAAATGACAGCAATAGGGCTGGCAACTCTTTGTTGAAGTGTAAAAACCAAATGAACTAGTAGTCAAATACCAGACAGATGATGTGTTGAGATTTATCGTGTTTTAATAGATATATTCCAAGCAACCGCCTTCTTTCCAACCTCGTGCACTTTTTTAAACAATTAGAGATTCCTCGTCCACCGTTATCGCAGGATCGAGATGGTAGACTCTCTAGAGGGTGTTGATTTCTGCGTGTTGGACAGCCCGTGAAATTCGGATCCTATGGAATGAAGCTGCGTTGCGTTTGCTCTCTCGGGAACCGACGTTTTCTCTCTCTCTCTCTCGAGTGGAGAAGATCAAACCAAGGGCAATAATAGAAGTAGTTAACAAAGTGCCAGCTGTTCGTTCTCTAGATCTCGGTAAGTTCTTGGGCCGGTTGGAACTTTTATTTTTTCGCTAGTAATAGTTGAAAGTAGGAAATAAAAACGGCTCGGTTCGCCCAATTCCTGACCCTGAATTAACTTTTGGGAATAAAAATGGAAACTGGAGTGGGTAGACAGAGGTACCTACAGTACCTAGGTATGGATTTGGAGGGGGGGTGAAGGAGCTGGCAATCTGCCCAAGTAGTTAGCGGAGTTCCACAAGTGAACACGCACGAATCTGATCGTGGTTGAACCTTCGATTTCTAGCTCCGGGTGCCCTTGTTATCTCCTCTTTCCACAAATTTGGCTTCTACCTTTCGTTTTTGGTCTCTCTTACTCTACACGCCCACGTTGATGATGAGACCCGACAAGAAAAAAATGTGTAGGCTTTTCTTGGAGGGAGACTGTGATTGGCAATGGCTAAAGCGGCGGAGGTGCTGATCTCTGAGGGTGCACTGACTGCTCACTTGCGTATCCGCCTAGCTGTTACTGGTGCTGGGTAGCTGCGAAGGAATTTTTGGTGGGATGCGATGTGTGTGTGCGGCGGATGAGAAGTTGAGGCAGAAGCAGCAGCAGCAGCAGCAGCAGCGTAGACGACAGAGCTTGGAGCATGGGATGAACCAAACGCCACCAATCAGCTCTTTGGTAGGGTTTGAATACTGGCTGCAGAATCCCGCTCGTGGTAGAATGTACGAGGATAGAGAAGAAGGGTAAAGCCCCAAAACGACAGGCCAGGCAGATGACTGAGGGAGTGATGGCCTATGCTACAAAGAAACGGACATATGCAAGGACCTCTGCTCCTCCTGACCAGAGTACCTGGTAAGTGATGTCTCTACCTTACTATTCGGTTACTGGATTGGATTGATAATATTGTCAGTGCTGCTTCTACTACTGTATGCTGCTTAACGCTGCTCTATGCTGCGGATGCTGCACGGATGTACGGCTGGTGATGAAGATGGAGTGACTGAACGGAGTAAGTAGACCAGATGCCCTCCGTGGACGGCAGCAAAAAATAACGATAATAATAATAATAGAAAAAGCAAATGAAGCCAACAAAAGTGCCTCCTACATCCAAAGCACTCTACATAGAGTAAGTACCCCTCTAACTTTGCTCGGTCGCAGTCGTCGACGGGGAAGCAAAGAGGGGCCTGTGTCCAGGACCAGGGTCCCAGGGTCCTGAGATAAGTAGACCTCACAATAATGTGGCAGTAAAAAGCTCTACGCAATTGACCACATAAACATTGAAAGTATGAGTTATGAATTTATCAGGTAGGCTTTCAAAATACCTCTCCTAAATATACTACTCTACTATAACCTTAACTTAATTAACTCTATGGATACAGCTTACTTCACGGATCAGGCCTCAAGCAGGCCCGAGTCGGGTTTGGAAATCTCTATGGGATGAGTACCTATCTATGTATGCATCGACATGTCGCTTGCATATTGCATACCACCTCGCTACAGGTACTGTAGCTAGTTGAACAAACAGAGATCGCGCCGAAAATCCTCTCGCTGCTCACCCTAAATAATGCACAACATTCCAATTACGGACTGTGACATCGCTCTGGGGTTGTGTCCTTTTAGCCGCGCATCGTGCACTCTGTTTTGGTTCCATATTGCTTTTTGCTCAAGCGCGCTGGGATGGCCTATCCGGAGCCGCAATATGCTCTACAGTTATACTTTTAGGCCGGCGCGGTATGCAGTTTACGTTATCGCTGAATTATCTCAATAGTCAATATTATCGCTGGTCTCAGTTCATCTGAGTTGAGAAGGGGAACACCCCAGCATGCACCTCCATATCCTGCATTCCGGTACAAATGCCGCTCCAAAACACTTCACGCCTCTCCTCTAAGCACTATCGAAGAATCTTAAAGGTTCAGGATAGCCCTTCTCCCCCGAATCTAGAGGCACGAACATGCTTACCAGTACCCCGGAGACACAAATTTGACAGGCAAATCACCCTGCCGAAACTCATGCCGATCCCTCAGCCCTTCAGCCTTGGGGGACTATCCTTGTCCGAAGTGCAAGGACCAGCGGCGATCTACCATTAAATCCTAGTAGTTTTTTTCTAATTTTTCCGACCGTTTTCTCTCCCCCACGTGTAGAAAGAGAGCCCTGGCGATACCGAAAAATGGTCTTCCCAAACGCGGATTTCTTTACTTTCTTTTTCCGTTCCTATCCCGTGATAAGCAATGTATGCGGGAAAAACATCGTTGCTGCAGAATGGTACCCGCGACCAGCAACAAGAACCCGAATATGCAGCTGCAAGTCTTTGGTGTATTTTTGACTTCTACTCCAATGGAAATTGCATATTAGAACGTGCATTTTCGGGTTCTTGTTGCTGGTCGCGAGTATACATTTAGGTTAAGGTCCTGCATATGTAAATAGCAAATTTTGCGGCATGCAGGCCCTGCCCAGTCAGGAAGCATTACGACTAGAGTAGAGCAAAGCAGGCAGTCATGTACGGGATGCCTCTTATGCACTGGCATAGCATAAGTTATTCGGGGCTTCCCATGCGCCCCGGTTCGCACTTTACGGCACTTTTTCTCTCACGGCATTTTATAGATATCAGCATGCTTGCCAAAGTCAACTGTTATGTTGATCATTGTTTAGAAATTATTAGACAGCGCCGTCGCCTCAAGTCACGTACCCGGACAAACTCCCGTTGGGACAATTATTGGTTGGTACAAGGTCATCTGCCGCAGCTCAAATCCCATACCCTCGTATGTATTTCAGGGAAACCGTTGCAACAACGTGAGATCTTATGGTGATAACAAGCACGATATGTTTAATTATTAGGAAAAATTGGGCCAAGTGTATTGCACTCGATCTACGCAGTACTGTATGTACTGGAGGTTAGAGGGATTAAGTCCGCAATCTCTTACTATCACTCGGTTGGTCATACGTGTACTGGTTCATACATAGGGTAGAGCTTCGCCGCCTATTGCCTAGCTAGGTTTTTATCAGTACTGTCTAGAAACCTACCGTTGTTGCAACGATAACATCGAACCACCGGCCTACCACCTAATCTAGGACCAAGGTTACAGTACCGTATGTAGTTATGCTAGAAACCCAAAAAATAAAATAAAAATGAAGAAAAAAAAGGAAGAAAAAAAAGAAAGAAAGTGCTCATTTGAACACCCCGTCTGTTTGAGATAAAAGATGGTTCATTAAAGTTCTGGATGGAGTACTTCACCCTTTATTACTATGTATGTAGTGATCATGAGGGATGTGATCGACGGTATGTACCAGTGATTTCCGGGACTTCCCCGGCTTCTCATACTAACCCCATTGTCTGCACATCCTTACAAGCTTGCAGATGTGATCTCAAGGGCTATTGCCTATTAACGTCTAGAGTAGGTACTACGCCACCGGATAGTGACACCTGGGTTGGAGAAATGGCATTTAAGAATATTGGTCCGAAGAGAATTTTCTCGATATCCTTCCACATGGGAAAATGCTAGATTTTCAATCTCCCAGCCGCGAAAATCCCTGGCACGAGGATGCATGCCGTTTTGATTTCGGCCAAAGGGATGGCTCTAGGCCCGGCTATTCTTGAATTTTGAGCCTTTATGTGCCACGGCATTGAGTCAATGAAGTGTGGCGCTTTTTACACTCCATGGACGGGCTGAGGTGCTCTTTGCCCCCCTTCAGTCGTGATCCGAATAATCCAGCTGCCTCGGTGTTTGGAGGCTTGTCCTCCTCAAATGCAATGCAAGGCAAAACTGAATAATGTCGCACGTGAGCATACATATACATAATCTATGCGTACAAAGTAGAACCTGTTCTACTCGTTTCCAAAAAAGAAAAGGGAAGAAAAAAACTAGCCACCACTTTCTTTTAATCCAGGCACGTGGTATCTAGAGGATATCAATCAATGTCTTTTACATGGCGTGTTTTAAACATACGAGTACATGTAGGTACTTTCCTAGAGTACATACCAGAGAAGAGACATATATATGTATTATGTACCTACAACTATTCAACTAGATGGATATCCCCGTACCAATTGATGCAGTGGAAATCGAAAGAGCCTCTCGGATATCTATCCGAATATATTTATAAGACAATTATCACTACTTATCCGAGAATTTAATGTGCGGGTGACTCGAATGGGCATGCCGTGAGTGATAGCTGGTGCCCGATTGTGTACAGTTACATGCGACTAGGTTTAGGAAAGACCCAAATTTGAGGTAGCGCTGGAGGTCATGCTCTACTGGAGAATGACATCCAATCAACCTCAATTATCTAAGAGAAAGCTCATAGGCACTTACTTCATAAACTTCAACGTACTTTCTTTGCTCTATGCCAGAGTACTCCAGCATACGGCCGTACATACATGTAGCACCTAGGTATTCTACATGTAGGATATAAGACATACATACTTGCCAAGGCTAAGATCAATAAGGCAACAAAACCCGGAAATGTACTGTGCTGGCTGGTAGAGTACTAGAGTATGTAGGTAGGTACTCTACCTCCAGAGTAGAGTCCTACTCTAGAGCACCAGTTCCAGCTAGATATGATTAGGCCTCAGGCACACTCCAGCAGTGATTCTGTGAAGATGGTGGTTCAAAGTAGAATACATACAACTCCACGGGGGTTGAGTTGATCCAATCACCTAGGACATTTTAATATAGGCGCTAACTCTCTACCAGATTGTACTCGTAACTGGGTCCGCTAGTGATCAACTCCGCTTCATGCAAAGTCGGTTATCTTTGTTAGAATGTTCTGCATAAAAATGAGACACTTCAACATCACATAAAATGGATTATTCTACCTATAATATTGCAGGTTGGCACTCCGCTGTTCGTTGCGTGGATTGACGTGGGTTAGGATTTGAATGAGATGCTGTGATGCAAATTGGTAACAGATAATTGCAAAAGGAACGTCGAAACAAAATTCGACGAATTGTCGACCTGGACGGGTTGTAACACCCAACTACCAGTCACACCACCGAGAATTATTCTTAGGGCAACGAACTATGCAGGAACAGCTGTCCAAAAAAAAAAAAAGAAGAAGGGGGGAGAGAGTGGAGAGAGCGAGATACCCAACAAACAAACGTCTCCTCCAATTTCTTTTGCACACTGGTCCTGTTTGCTACTTAGTTATCACGAAACTTCCTCGACCCTCGGGTCCCCGCGCGCCGATTATGATTATCGGCCTTGACTACTTCGGGATCGATGGGGTTTATCCGATAGCATTACGGCCCGGCCTTGCACCCTGGTTTTTTCATACGGACGGATTTAGCGGGCCGGGCCGAAGGAATTTAGTCTTAGACAGTGGACAGAGGGCGTGCCTGAATCTTGGAGAGAATATGAAGACAACATTTCCCATGATACACGATACCACTGCACACTTGATAACTATAGTTGGCAAATCGATCCAGTACTAGTCAGTTATCAGAATGCCCCATCAGCTTACCTTTCATGGAGTAGGTAGACGCATTGACAAAATGGCCTGCGCAAATACTTGGCGACCGGTGCTGGGTTTGATCACTTTGGCACAGAGGGAAGTCTCCCCCTGTTCTCCCGCAGTTCTACGCAGGTCGAGATGTAATTTTGTGGCGCTGCTGCGATCGGGATCAAATCCTTAATCGTACAAGGTTGAATTGGCTAAACGGGGTTTATCTCTCTCCCTCTCTCTCTTTCGTTTCTGCAAAGATAAACCCCGCAGGAGGAGTATCGGTACCTACTTTGTATATATCTCTCAAAGGTTATCGCCGGATGTTCTGTCCAACTCAACTTAAACGAGAGCAGAGCCCACCTCATCAAGCGAGCAGGAGCCCGTCGCGCAATGTTATGCGGGCGTCCCCCTCCCCTGGGCGTGAAACAAACCCCCTGCATCCGGGCCTCCCGCTGCAGCATATCCGTCCGGGGCGAGTACTTTTTGGGTGTTTTCACTAGAGATTATGGAGTATGGTACGTTGAGTAACAGTGCCTTACTCGATATGGTCGTTGAATTAACAATGTTGATCAAAATGTCCAGACTCTAGTTAGCCAGCTGGATTTCGTTTCTAAAGGAGTTAAGGGGAGCGCAATACTTACGCGAAACCTGGATGTTCAGCGCACCCAGAACCACCAATCACTCATCCTCTTTTTTTTTTTTTTTTTTTTTTTTTTTTGGGGGGGGGGGGGGGGCGTGTAATGAAGAGATCAGCAAAACAAGCCCTTGTCAGGCCGGTTTCGGGATGGAGGTAACAACCAGTTCCGACCCCCGCGTGAATCCCGATCCCGGGATGCGATTCCGATAGAGTTCTTTGAGTGGCCGGCAGAACCTTTCACAAACCTCCTCTGGACGACTAAAAAGTTAATTAAAGCACCCCCCCCCCCCCCTCAAGGCTTGTCATACATACCTGCCAGTACCTAGGTAATGGGGTTCACAGTGCTTGTCGTACTCGTTGTGCTTGCGGTAGTGATGGTTTCAGTCTTGGTGTTTTTCCGTTCCGATAACGCATGTGTACTCACACGTAAAAGGTAATCGTCTTCCAAGCACTCGCCGGTTGGTAGCCAGTAATTAAACATTAACCTCTATTTTATGGTAGGTAGGTTGGCGAATTGAGAGCAACACAATTAACGAGAGGGTCAAACATATGCGTTTATGTTACCTCTCCAGGTATGCATTAAAACAATCGATCCTACGGCTTGAACCTCGATCTCACTCGCGGTCATTTTTAGTTATTCCCATATCTCTTCCTCACCCTGCTAGCTAGCTGGCCATGGTTGCAGAAGTGAGCTGTCTCTTTTTGTGATTTTTTTGTTGCAGTCAATCTAAGACCTCAGTCGACACTGGAATTCTCCTCTGGACCAATGGGGATTGAAACCAAGACCCTGTTCGAATCGCCCATCAAATGCGAGGCTCGAGTTGGGCAAACTTTTTTTTAGTCAAGGAGGGAAGGGGCAGCTAAAGCTTGGAATTTATTCCTTTGTGAGCCGATGGTGGTGGTGGATGGGAAGCTAGCCCATGGGATATCATATCAAAATGTGACCTGGTCATGGCCTAGCTAGGTAGGAGGGGAGGAGTAGGTAACTCACTCTGGTCAAGATGTGTATGTGGGCGGGTAAATATCCACTCCCCCAAGCTCCCTTTGCAACCACCGGTTTCTCCAGCCATTTCTTTTTCTTTCACCTACTAAGCCCTTTATGAAATTGTCCCAAACTGGCCGAACCACTCCGTTGGAATTTTTTTTCTGACCTAAACGCGTTACCAAGTAGGTAAAATTAAGCACAAACCACCACCACTATTTTCTCGAGGTAGTCTGCAGAGATATGAAGTGGGATTCAGACCCGATACCACGTCTACGGTGCTATGTTCTCAAATTTCAGCATCAAAAAAGGGAAAGAAGAGGTAATACATACTTTTTCTAAGGCAATCCATACTTCCCTTAAGAAATGCACGCTACTATGTACTCTACGCTCTGGAGCCATGCATACTAATTCTCTCGTAGATTTTTTTTTATATAAAACCCCTAATTGGCCAGAAGTGCTCTGTTCTGCACCCAAGATCATCCAGGGTATCCAAGCCTGGTTACCAGTTAACGTTCCGATCTTACTTATGTTTCCATTTATAGAAATGCCCTAGCTTGTCCCGTCGAACTGTCATGAGGATGCACAGATGTTATACCTAGGCACGCTGCAGGTTTGCTTTGTCTGCCTGCCTACTCTGGGAACAGAGCACAGACCTGGAGTACATACATGAAAGAAAATATACACATGTACATCCATATATGTCTTCTTACCTTAGACACAGTTGCTGTAACGGTACCACCCCATATTCACTTACAACTACCCCCCACAAGTCCTTATGTACTCACGATACCACCATAAGGAATACGTCCGAACACATAGTCGAGATTACGAGCTCGATTGTTTGCTGTTTATCTTACAGGCAGGGACAGAGCATCCGTTAGGTGTCTATTCACGGACAAAAGGCTGCTATGTATATCCATTTGCGGATATACGGGCCTTAGACTGATAAGTAGGACCTTCCTGTACTTGGATCGATATCTTTGCTGTCCTAGACGCTGTAAAGAAGGATCATGATATTCATGAATAATGATGTCTTACTCCGTATCTGCCTTTTGTTTCAGCAGAAGCCGTTACTAAGCCACCAACCAGCTGCAAGAAATATTGACTGGAACAATGTCGTTGAGTTGAATTGGCGCAGGGCATGCACAACTTCTGACACTGGGCTGCTCTTCTCGGCATTCTTTCCAAAAGTGGAAACTCATCACAATCACAAGTCACGCGTTCTAGCTTACGCAAAAAATAGACCCTCCGGAACCTTGGTGAGCAGGTAGATAGTGAATAGGGACCAATATAATATCAATGATCTCGATCTTGCGCATTCTTTTCCCAAGTTTGGCGGTTCAACTTGGGGGTAGAATCTTTCTCGAGCTCCTTTGAATAATTGAATATAATCAGCAGTGGCTCGGATCTCAAGGGCGCATGTTGTATTGGACCTATTCCATTTACTAACAGCTTACCCTGTGCTGCCACTCAGACCTTGGTGGGGTGACTGACTACTTTACCGGCTGACCCACACACACGCGGGGGACCCGAGAATGCGTATCGCACCCTACCTACTCAAAAACTCATCACATCAAGCTAAGAGACATCTGCTTGCTAAACCGTCTGTGCTCTGCCGTAGATACGCGCTAGATTACGGGGAATCGAAAAGTTCGATGTCCATCGAGAAAAGCAAGTGGGTTTTGAATTATTTTCTACTCCCCCTCTCTCCCCTTGCCTAGCTAGAATGTATCTCCATACATAAACCACGTTTCTTTTACTCAAGCTGCCCATCATGCATATTATAGAGAGATGTGTTGCTCTTGGAGCTGAAAAAAGTGAGATCCCTCCCAGTTTGCATTTGGGGAGGAGGGGGAAAGGGGGGTGATGGAGATGTATGTACATGTATGTATGTATGTATGGGTGGGTGGGTGGGTGTCTGCAGCTCGTTGGCCGCTTAGACTGGCGTTTCATAGGAAAGTAAAAGTAAAAGTGAAAAGAAAAAAAAGTCAACGGTTGCACGATCCCCGTTGTTGTTCAAGGCCGCCACGCCGAGCGAGGAAATTTCGATCTCGCTATTCGGACCGATCCATCTGCATATTAAGCACGAGTGTCGTGTGGACGTCCAATTGCAGACCTGAGCAGCAAGTGTTGGAGATATGGCATCGTCGTATCTCGACAGCTTTGATGGAGATTCTAGGCTGGACAAGACACTAGTAGGGGTGTGGAGGGCATTTCCAGGCTCCTAGGTGGGAAGGAAATAGCGCCACTCTGAACCCTTGAGTGCCCTCCCTCTCTAAGGTCTCTCGGGTACTTATCTTAGAGCGGTGGCCCTATCAAAAACCTTGCTGCAGCTGCTTGATCAGAAGTCGATCTAAATCGCAAGAATAGGCGGTTGGAGGAACAGCAAATCGCATGGTAGCCAACCGAACATATATTGAAACCTCTTCTCTGCACCACCTAAAGAATCTTTGTACCGTACCCTGTAAGCCTTCGAAGCTTCTTCCACTCCATGGCGTTGGTCTTATGCACGAAGTTGCGAGAACTTCCTACCGGAACGAGAAATTAATTAATTCGAATCTAGTGCTTATTTTATAATGAAAGTTATGCCATCGATACCAATGGCTAAGCTCGCCACTCTTGGGTAGTTAGTAAATGAGTGACGACTCATGACTCAAGGAAATTATCCAACCAGAAATTACCTTTGGTTCCATTAATTCTAGTGCGCCAGCCTAGTTGCAGATCGTGATCTACAGTTTCTCTTAGTTGTGGCTCCTCGAATTAAGGCCCAGCAACCATATAATATTAAAGACAACGAGCCCGCACACTCGGGGCAGCGACTCCGTTCACCGTCTTGCTGCAAGAACCTTGATGGCAGAGTTTGATACTAATATTCACATGTAATATAATATAATAATATATATTCATTTGAGAGCTAGAGTACAGTGATGCGTTTGAAATGCAGTCGCAGATTCCTCAAGGCATCTCGAGCTCCGGGTGGGGACAGAAAATTAAAAAAACTCTGTGTACATTCCAACACTCCTTAGGTAGATATAAAACCCGAGAAGGACGTGTACGAGAGATTTTTATAGCCCTGGAAGTTGGTCCCTGGAAGTAAAAGACTTCGATCATGATATATCACTCGATATGAATTTTGTGTCCAGATCGGGCTGGGCTGATGTAGAGTTACTTCTACTCATTCAGTCCTCTCATGGGTGGTTCTGGCCTGTAAATGAACAATCTAGACTGCTGTATGACTTGGCAACTATCCCGGATGTTGTGAACGATGCAGTACACATATTTTGATAATTAGTATATATTGGCCTACAAAGATACTTCGTGACTCAGTTTAACAGAGCCAATTGAGAGCATCTCCAGGAAACGTGTTGAGTAAGATTCGGAGTTAAACAGATCTTGCATATTTATTTGACTGGATGTCTCAAAAATCAATGCTTATATATATCAATACCCCCTTAATATGCAGACGCAGATGTAGGTCGCGTTGGTAAATGTTGTGTGTCCGTGCGTGCATCTTCAGCCACATACAAATAATTAACGAGCCATGTATGCATGTACTTATGGACATTGAAAGCCCGAGACTGGTCTTGTGACAATGACCAGAATCCTGCACGATTTCTCTCTCCACGCAAGTATGGACTTTGAATTGATTGTTAATGAAGGATGCCCAGGAAAGCTATCTGAGGATATCATTGCACTTGAAAAAATCTCGATTCCCGGGGCTATTCGCATGGTCCGCGGATCGGCCGAATACTGGAGATCTGTCGGTTGACAATTGATGATAGAGAGGGTATCCCGGGATTAATCATCATCCTAGGGAGGGTTCTCCCCGCAGATCGTTCCATATGCAGTTTCTCGTAGTACCTCCATTCCAGCTTCTTATGTCATATCATTAATCTATTATCTGTTGGTAACCGCCGCGGCTGAACTTTATTCCTCTGTTTCCGAGCTGCAGAGATTCATTCATCTATCCATGGGTCTTAGCGTGCCAAATGCAAGTAGATATATATTCAATCCAAGAATTTTATTATCGACATAGAAATCTAAATAGGTGTTTATGGGCTTCAATCAATACTTGATTATCAGCCTCCCAGCAACCCGGCCCTACATTTTTGCACTTCATAGTCATGTTTCTTTATGAGGTTGATGAAACCATTAATTTTCCGGTGATACATTCATTCTAGTCCTATTGGAAGTCACGCTTAGAGGATCCAGAACTAATTTACTTTCCAAACTTCTCGGTCGGAGTCTGGCGTGAAGGGTCTCGTGTCCTGTCGGGCAATTGCTTGTTTCTTGAGTACTTTTGTTGCCCTTAGATCATTGGCCATGCTTATAACCAGATTTTAAACTGGTGGCATGCGTAACGGCACAATCCTCGGGTCTTGGATTGACCTCCAACCTGCCCTCTTATCAGAATGCACAAGCAGCCCAGTATAATAGATAGTCTGCAAAATGCCTGGATGATAAGCTCAAAGGTATGTATCTTTTATATAGTATTCCGACTAATAGGAAACATGCATAAGCCAGTCGGGTGAGTTTTGAGCGTAATTCTTTGGCGTACAGCGCAGTTACCAGCTCTATTCGATAAAGTAAGTGTTTTATGCATAATAATCCTCACCTTTCTACACTTGGTATCAGTGCCTGCAGTCTGCGTTCATAGGAGTTTTTTGAAGATTCAAAAACGATTACTTACGTACGTACTAGTGAGCAGAAATTTCCCTGCATTTCTGTAGGTTACATTGATGAAAAAGACCAGAAGAAACTTCGACAACCCATGACAGGATAATACGTGGTAGAAAAAAACAAAACAAAAAATCATTATTGATATGCACTTTCTTTGCTATGGAGGTGATATCGATGTGATCAAGGGATGTTGCAGGAGTATCGATAGATTTTCCAGAAAATGACCATTCAGTTGCAAACTAAACAGCAATGATGTCAGTTCATACTCGTGAGCTGCAGACTTGAATGAATGTTACCAGGCCTAGCCCAGGAACAAATTTATCGGCTGTACTGGAATTGTTACATGTTTCCTGATACATTTGGCCGATGTGAACCGAATGAGAAGACCCGAATTGGAGAAATGTATATAATAAAGTTTAAAAAAGAAGGACACGCTAGCTATAGCCTTGCCGCGCGCAGCTGAGCTGGCTTTACCAATATGAACGATCTGTTTAACTTGTGCTATGGTTATAAGAGCCAAGAAATATCTGTGACACGTTGGGTATATCGAATATACTTGTCCGGGTTGTGTAAACCCACATGCATACTGATGAGAATATGTTTCCCATACATGCATGCCAAGACATACGGCGAGTGATGGTTTGTGAGTAAAATCCAAATATGCAAGTGGGGGGTTGTAATGGCTGATTTGATTGATTGTCTTGGTCATCAAGCACATTTATATGTAAATGCAGCTTCCTGGTTATAGAGTTCGGATGCATGATGGTAAATTTCAGAATGTAATCTACAATATACACTATAGCTACATGTACAGCGGTGGGTATTAAGTCATCGGACGGCCTAGCCTGCAAACGCGTATTTTGGTGGCGTTCTGTCTGATCACTTATTACCCACTGCTGTACATGTACGTACAGTACGATGCCAGTCGTGAGCGCGCGCAACAACCTTTTCACGGCGGGTTGGTACACAAGATATTAAATGTCAAATTATTGTTATTTATCTACTATTTAACAACTAAACAAAAATTCAGCTCTCCAAAGGATCAATTGTGGTTGCTGTGCTGGTACCCGTGATGGTTCGGTCGGCGCGCCTGACGCTCACGACTGGCATCGTACTGTACATATATCAAAACAACAAAAAGCGTAGATCTTGTGTACGAGTCTTCGGATTAGATATCGATAAGTACAGTACAAAAAAAGCGGGTGGATCTAGTACCACACCTAGCAGAATACTGCAAGGCTACGGTATTGCTACGGTATAATAATTAGGATTCCGATTTAATCCGGGAGTTTTGCACAATTCCACATTGGTATAGTATCTATTATATCTGTATATATGTACATGTATGCAGTATGGTGAGCTCATGAGGAGACAGATCACTGGCGTGTATTGAAAGCTAATTTCTGGAGATACTAGATGTATATGAATGAGGTTAAGACTTCTAGATCTAGATCGATCATATCAACTTGTAAATGTGTAATGACTACATGTATAACAATCTCTCATAATCGCATGCAACCGCGACGTTCAAGGGATTACCGCTGTCCTCATTGGAGCAAGTGACTGGGGAAACCCTTCAAAACCCAGCCCGACCGGTAGGATGGGTATATATATATCGGGGGTGAAGGACACGGTTCGATTCGAACCCGTAACCTCTCGCTTTGCAGCAAGAGGAAACCAGACAGCCATAAACCTATAAGCGTGTAAGGATCTCGGCTGACTACTTGTAGGTATCTCGATCGCGAGTTTCTTTTCTCGCTTTCGAAGGCCTGGAGACTTATTTTTTGCCTTAAAATTTACCCTTATTTGAATATATAAATGCTACCAAGAGGAGAAGGCGATTGACCATATGGGATCCTACTCTGTCACGACCGACTTTTGAGAGACCATTCCCAGATTATATATATGGATGTCTACCATTCCATCTTTACGCGCACATTTAATTTCTCCTGCGAATAGAAATCTAGCCCGACGAAGTTTTTAGCACACACGTGAAAGCCGAATTTAGTATCATGATATAATCCACATGAATATATGAAAAATTACGCCGTTTGCATACAATTAATGAAGTAAGTACAACAACAACGAAAGGTACGCCATGAAACTGCTTGGAGGAAAGAAAAAGAAGTATAAAGCCTCACAACAGCGTTGAGTACCCGTCGTTTAGCTCGGATCCACCATTTTGAAGTCTATCCAAGAAGACTTAGGTGTTCATACATATTTAACAGCTAGGAGGACGTGTTCAGAGATTGAGTATTATGGATTAGGGCCTGCTAATCTGATTATGATGAGAGCATGTGGCCTTTCTAACAAGAATAGACGAAATAGTATACAGTAAGTTTGATGTCACATAGAGCACCGAGTATCCTTCTTAGTCTTTGGCGGTCATTAGACCTGGATTCCCAGCACCGTTGCACCAATGGAAGAGTAACGTACTAGCAAATATCCCAAGCCCGGGCCCAAAGGTATCGACTGTTTTATCGTCTTTGATATTATGTAAGTGTTATGAACATTGAGGCGCTAAGCCGCCACAATGGTGACCTTAGTGGGATCGGGGAACGTTGGTGTTTGGCTAAGCAAAAAGTAGTTAAATAATATTTGAAGCTTTTCGTGGTGGGGATGTGCCCACGGATGTGGTGATTTTCCCGGGAAAAGTTTTAAGAAGAGGAGAGCAGTTGCAGGAGTTTACTCGGCGACATGATATATCACTCGGGAGCCAAGATGGCGAGCTATTGATAAACAGGATAGATAGGGATAATTCATTGATTGTATATCAATGAACAGGATGAGATTGAGTGGAAATAACATAAAGGACGGTGTGGAGTGAGTATATTGTGTTATGCGAGCCTTTTTACGTTCATTCTGGGGGATGATACGATGGTTATATCCATGGATATGGGCAACTACGATCACGCGATTTCAAGTCATCTACACAAGGGTCGGGGCAAAAGGTTTGATCCCATAAGCGTGCGGGCAGAGTGTTTATTTGTCAAGGTTTTCCAACGAAGAAAGAAGAGAGGGTGAGAAGGGAAAATCCAGATAAGAGATGACTTGTACAGCCGTACGTACAATACAACCCCGTTATCTCTAAAAGAAAAAAAGAAAGAAAGCAGAAAGAAACCCCAAGAGAACATGAATGATGCACACCACAAGCCAATAGAACAGACGAAAAGAAGTTTTGCACACGGCCACGACTCATATTTTGCCCAGAGATCCTTTAACTCCATCCTTAATTCGACTAGGCGTTCTATCATGATTAATTGATTCAATGTCTGGGTAGAAATCATACAGCTTAGTAAAGGACCATAAAGAAAAAGAAACATAAAAGGAAACAGGAGCACATACCATAATCAATCCTTTAAGTTAGCAGGGCCCGCGTTCTTAGGCCCTTTAGCCCCCTTAGCAGCAGTAGCCTTAGATTTAGCCTTGGTCTTCTTGATTTTGTTCCCGCCATTTCCGGCGTTGCTAGACTCTCCCTTGAAGATAGTCTTTAGGTTGGCCTTAGCTTCTTTCTCTTTCTGACGCTGAGCACTAAGGAGTAATCCCCGAGCAAAACATGGTGCAACTGGGCTATCGTTTTAGTCGTTAACAGGCGGAAGGCATCTAGTGGATCTTCTACATATTTCCCTACTGGGGGCCTGCAGCCTAAGATCCCAAACGAATGTCCGAGGGACAATCCTAAGGCTAAGGAGTAATTGGTAAAAAGATTGATGGGGCCGAGCGATCCTATCCTGATAGGGCGTATATCCTTATAGTCAAGGGCTACTTTAGACTCCCTTTATAGAACTCATGTTCATCTCGTCGGAGACGACTGCCCACTTCTCATGAACCATGCGAGTGATATTGTATGACCGAAGATTAATTTGATTGATTACTTCATTAATACCAAATATTAAAGCGGTGTACGTGTCACTAAGATGGTACATAGCGTGGATACAATAAAGACGTGAGTGGATATCTAAAGTTGACATATGTACAGCGGTGGGTATTAAGTCATCGGACGGCCTAGCCACAATCAGAGATTGTGATAGTGCCGTCAGTTCTACCATCGTCGTCAAGAGACTTCTCCTCCATCTTTTTAATGCATTCTACCCCTGACACAACTTCACCAAAAACAACATGCATGCCGTCGAGATGAGGTGTTTCCTCAAAGGTGATGAAAAATTGGGATCCTATTATTTTGTTAGCGCCGATCCTAAGACTCATAAAGGGTAGCAAAGGGATTTACCGTTCGTATTTTTTCCTGCATTGGCCATAGAGAGGAGGTATGGCTTGTCATGCTTTTTTACGAAGTTCTCGTCATTGAACTTCTCGCCATAGATGGACTTTCCACCAGTACCCTATGCACAAATATTGATGAGTACCTGCTACATCATATGGGGGAAGAAAGTGTTTTCACATTTCCTCGGGTAAAGTCACCACCTTGAGCCATGAAGCCGGCGATCACACGGTGGAATTTGGATCCTTTGTAGCCGTATCCATGCTCGCCGGTGCGGAAGTTCCTGGCGGTGACGGAAACGACATTATCATAGAGATCGAACACAATCCTGCCCCAATTCTCCTCTAGGATTAAAGTTAGTCAATTTTTCTTATCAAGAGTTGAGGCAAGCACTCAAGCAAAAACATGATGGCTCCAAACTATCAATTGAAGAATGGACGTCTTTCTGAGGTTTTTATAACAGCTATTATGATAGTCTAATATATGACTTCTCATTTAAGACACGCCTGATCTGTGATCGTGGATGAATTATGTTGAGAATAAGAAAAGAATAGGTGCTTACGTGGACCTGAGGGCGGTGTGTATGAAATATCAAAATAGACTTTGGGCATGATAGGTGTTTTAAAAGAAGACTTGGTTTAGAGAAGTACGTATGTATATGTTTGAGGGTTGATGCAAAACGAGGAATGGATGGAGGGAAGGAGAGGTAGAAAGAATGAGGAGGGAGCGGGGTATTTTAAAGTAGACGCGGAGAGCAGATGTACATGAATGTTTACATACATGTATTATTAGAGGCTACATGCACTTATATGTAAGGGTGGTTGATGTTTTTAACGTGAAGGGCGATCCGTCGACTCTTCGACACATGACCCTCTTCTAGGTTTATTGCACGTGAGCCACATACAGTACATACGTGCAGTTCGGACCATTTGTAGTGTACGATCAATGCTCTACAAGTTTGAGAAGCAATCAATAGTTCATCTTTAGACAGGGTTCATCGTCCACACCACATTCATGTCATGTTCGATCAATGTTCTCCATGCCTCAAAAAAGATTATTAGGTGCGCATGCATAGTACTTCGGTATCAGGGGTAAGTGAGTAGAACGCGGCGGTCCATATTCGTGAGCAAAACAGGAAAACTACAGCTTTAGCCACGCTGCCACGTTCTACTCACTTACCCTTGATACCGAAGTACACTTCACCTAAACTTACATGTAAGAATTAAACATGTACTGCGCGTGATGTTTTATTGAATATACATATATGTCATGCACACACACATATATTGATGGCAATGATCTTCCACCGTCTTCATACAATGACAAGGCGTGTCTCAATTGATCATGAACAACTAATCACTAATTCGATATAATCAAATGGAATAGAGTACTTGCTTACCAGCAAAAGAACCAGTTGCTCAGGGCAAGGATACATGTAGTTTGTATGGAGTGGCGCCGTTTTCTCATACAAATAATCCCTGTTTCCGTCACTTGCATTTTCTGGTTCTTTTGGTATGTAGACGACGTTAATATATAATACTCTTAATCATGTTAACCTTGTTTTGCTTTGTTTTCCCTCGGATTGCTGTATGTTTCATAGCTACCGTGTGTCGATCAATTGGTTGATGTAGATTTACGGTAGTATGCATGTACTTATTACAAATATGGTTCCCCCAGTCTTAAAGGTAACATGAGAAAAACGCCAAGTCTCGAATAACTTTTCAACCACGATTGATATTAAAAATCTGGAAAGAGAAAAGCTGGATACCATGATGAAGAAGAGTTTGTCTTTCCAGATTTTTAATATCAATCGTGGTTGAAAAGTTATTCGAGACTTAGCGTTTTTCTCATGTTACCTTTAAGACTGGGGGAACCATACATGTACCTACATGTATGCTCTAAGGATACCATCTATGATACCCGAGTTCTGTAGAGCAGCGAGCTGCTCGTAGGGGGTGGGTACGCGACCATACAGTTAATACATGTACCTACATGTAGTGTCCGGTTCGATGTACAGCTTACCAAGTAACGGAAACAGGGATTATTTGTATGAGAAAACGACGCCTCTCCATACAAACTATCCTTGCCCTGAGCAACTGGTTCTTACGCTGGTAAGCGTGTACGTATACTCCCACATGTACCTATGCCTAGAGACTAAGCCTAGCTCAGTACGAAATTTGTCATAGTACGCCATATAACGCCATAATGTGCGTTAATAACGAAATATGTGCGTATATATAAAATTTAACTCCCGTGCACAGCATCTCTTCACTCACCACACATCGTGTTTAAAGCTCTCAAATGGCCACATATCTAGTGTCCTTCTCATCCATAAGGTAAGGAGAACGAAGAGTTCGCTACGTGGAAAAAACGACATGTAATTCTTGCTCGGTACGGGTAAAATCTCTCCTTTTTTTTTTAAATAGATAACAGGAGACATATGAATTTCAACTAATGAAATTGCGAAACCAAAATACAAGAGGGCTAAAGCTAACCAACTATTCAGTTCAAAAAATTACCTCTACCGGCCTTCCAGCTCAAACGACAATAACTCTAGTAGATCAAAAAGATCCAAATCTAAAATCCACATTCTGCCCTGACTGCCTTGCATTTTTTAACGCTATCTCTCGCCTCCAGCCTGTCGCTCCAGGCCGCAACGGTTGGGAACTCATCTCTCCAACCATCGAGCTCTGGCTTGATCCAATCGGCGGCCCATTGATAAGGCACAAATGCAAGGTCTGCATACGATGGCTTGTCGTTTACCATATAGTGCTTCCCTTCAAGGACTTTCTCAAGGACACCCATGATACGCATGGTTTCGGCACGGTAACGTTCGATTGCACTAGGAATCTTCTCATGGTGGTATCTCAGGAACCATCCTAGCTGGCCCATATACGGTCCCTGGCCTGTGAATTCCGTGGGTCAGTTAAACCTAACAAGGTGTATTGGCATATAGGAAGGGATTTGGATTAAAAGACTAACCGGACATCTGAAACATCAAGTACTGATTTGCGGTAGCGGTCGAGTCGAAATCTGGGAACGAGATCTTGTGTTCTGTATCGTATTTACCAACTAGATAGAGCATAATGGCGCCGGACTCCCAGATGGTGAAGTCATTGTTGGAATGGTCCACAAGGGCGGGGAGACGGCCGTTGGGGTTGAGTTTGGTGAATTCTGGCGCCTTGTTCTCACCTAAAAGTCCGATTCGATGAGTTAATAAAAAAAACTAAACTTCCAAGTAGGTACAAGTATATATACCATTATTCACATCGACAACAACCGTTTTATATGCGAGACAGAGTTCTTCGAGAATAATGACAACTTTCCATGGGTTAGGACCCGCGGAGACATAGAGGGTGAATTGCTTTCCGTGGCTAGTTGTTGAGGATGACATTTTGATAGTTGATTTCTGGAGGATGCTAGCTGCACTGATGAAATATAGATCTTTAGGATTGATATTGATGCTTCGTTGTGTGTCGACTGAGTATAACTTTTTTCTCAGCTCTGGCGTAGAACAGTTCTTATATTCATCGTCTACACCGGCTTTCATCTTCTTTTACATTCCCCAAAATAACCAGCTATGCCGATTTACAATCGTGGTTCGTCTCGGGCGAGTGCAGTTGCGCAAGGATAGTCACCACGTGATTCGGAACACGGGGCAGGTTCCTCCGCTTATGTATTACAAAGCATTAACCCCCGATATTGGCAGCGGCGGAACTTTTACACCGCAGAGTTTATGATTTGGCATCAACATTTGAAATCCCGGCCCCTGGTAGCTGTGGTGCTTTGGTTCTTGCTGTCAAAGGTTAGCTCGTGCTATGCTCAATTTGGCCCCTCATGCAACGATCAAGCTCAGTTGATCAAGGGGATCTGCAACATGGTTACGAGCGTAATATCAGAGAAGGCACATTAGCAACATCAATTTTTTTTTGAACATACTGATTCGCGGGAAACTGCAGTTTAGTGGTCCGAGTATTGTCAATTTACATATAACTGTGCAGCAGCAGCGGAAGAACTTATTGCACTCAAGCTCGACATTGTTAACATGCGTCAGACATAGCAGGGTTGGGTTAATATTCCGAATATCTCATACACCGGCCTGGAATTCAAGTCCCCGGAGAGTAATAGCTTGACAGCTCTAAAGCCGAAAGCCTTGATTACTATATTGAACTTAATACTAATAAACTTTTCAAAGAATATGCATAATATTAGATTACTGTTAGTCACCACTGATACCCGTAGTCACAACAGATCTTTGAGTTACGAATTTTATTAGGGTCATATTATAATCACGAGCTCTCAAGTGGTTTCTAAAGTAATCACTCTCGCAACCTCGGGTCGGCGAAAATAAAAACAAAAGGGATTGGAATTTAAATGCACGCCCGTTGCTCTCAACTACCTAGCTCCAATGAATTCGAGGCTTGAGTCATATATCTATAACGATTGGTTCAGGATTAGCCCCGGATAAATATTTGGCAGGGGTTGATTGTACCACATAGACTTAATGTCATGGTATGTCACTCGCAATATCAGCTCCTCTCATAGTTGTACAAAGTAGTTAAGAAAATATCAATTAGGTGTTGAATGGGCCTTAGGACGTTGAGGGCGGGGAGGCTAGCTGTCAAATGAAACTAACACCTAAACCGGGAATGATTTGGGTTAACACTTCTAGATCTAGCTCCAAGAGCTGGTGGGGATTTGGCGCAACCTGTTTGGGGGTAAAAAAAAAGAGAGAAAAAAAAAAGAAATCTTCAGCGGTGAATCAACTAGAAAGCGCTCATCAGAGACTTTGGCAGAGATGACTCTCAGTTGGTTGGATCCAGACGATAAGATGCACACAAACGTAACAATATCACTATCACCGTTGCACACACCAATTGGCAATATTCAGAATGATATGTTGTAAATTTGTATATTTTCTAAGCCTTTTTGGCGTGCTAAATTCGACCTATAATTTCTCTAGTGATTTGCAAGTGCTTCCTTGGCCGCCTTCATCTTCTTCACACTATCTAATTCATTCATCCTCGCATCCCAAGCGGCAACCTTGGGGAACTTCTCCTGCCATCCGTCAAATCCTGACATCCATCCCAGCAACCCGTTCCATGGAAGGAACGAGATATCAGCATAGGAACATTTGCCGCCCACGAGCCATTCCTTGTCTTTGAGAATGTCCTCTAGGACACTAAGAACTCGCAGTACCTCGTTGTTATATCTGTCGATAGCGCTGGGGATCTTCTCACCGTGGTATCTGTTGAACCACACTGCTTGCCCGAAGTATGGGCCCTGACCTGGAATATTATGTCAACACCTACGATATACGTTGCATGGAAATGGTGGGGACGAACCGGACATCTGAAACATCAAGTACTGGTTTGCAGTCGAAGTCTGCTCAAATTCTTCAAATGAAATCTTATGTTCCTTATCATACTTGCCAACGAGGTATAGTATGATAGCACCGGACTCCCAGATCACAAAGTCGTTGTTAGAATGATCTATGAGAGTAGGCATGCGTCCATTGGGATTCAGGTCGGTGTATGGTTTCTTCTTATGTTCCTCTGAAAATGCGTTAGTCAATTGTTAATGGGGAAGACCAGGCCTAGGGATGGTGGTAATTACGGGTGCTAGAATCGACGTTGATGAGCTTGTAAGGGAGACATAACGCCTCTAGTACAATGGCAACCTTCCATGGGTTGGGGCCGCCGTGACAGTAGAGGGTGAATTGTTTTCCGTGGTCGGCAGGCATGATGATTTTAGGATTAAGTCAAGAAGTGGAGATGGATTGATGGATTGATGGATTGATGGATTGATGGATTGATGGATTGATGGATTGATGGATTGATGGATTGATGAATTGATGAGTGTGATATTCTGGATACTCGCAATCAAGTACAGCGGAGGCAAGACTTTATATACCTTTTCCCATTAACTTGGATGTATCTATATAATTCCATTGATAAGAGCTACATGTAGATCCTTTTCCAGCTACTGTGCCAAGGTTCCCCGCACACCTCTGCGAGGTTGTTTTGGCCTACGAGAAACAGTTAGACGGCCCGCATTAGCGGAGAGGGGAAACAGTCAGTGAGACAGAGGTTGCATTTCCAAAGCTTTGTCAGAACCATCCGTAAAGAATCGTGAAGAATCGAACAGTACCACATAAGCGCTGTAACTCTGTTGGTTGACAAATCGATGCATATCCCTGCTCTTCGAATTCGGCCGATAGAGAATCCTGCTCATCACGTGGATAGTATACAATCAATGAAAGGCTGTCGGATATTGAGGCTCAGACTGATTACAACATGCTCAGCTACAGTTTGAAACAGCAGGCAGGATTCGGATTGCGATAGGTATCGATATGAGTGGATATCTAATCCAAAGTATAGTAGCCCAGGTACAGATACATCGGCACTCGCCGCAGCACCACATAGGGCCTACCCTAATTAAGCAAGATCGATTTGTAGCCGCAACCTTGTATGTACCTACATAGAAGCTTGTTTTATTTGATCATGATTAGATGCTCTATTAATTAATCAAATACGATAGAATCTAAGTAGATGTAGTTAATTGTGGGGGAAGAGGATATGGAGTTAACTAAAACCCGAAGTGCACTACAGCGACACCTCGCTATAGGAAACCTCGTTGAAAGAAATTTTTGCTGTAAGAAAGGGCTTTCTTCCGCAACTTTCGGTTCCCACCAAAATTGGGTGAAAACTACCCCGATATAAATAGCTTTAGTGTAGTGAATGAAAAGTGACCGGCATGTAACCCCTGTCCCTATAATAAAATATTTTGCTATAAGAAATCCCCCCCTTTTTTTTATATGCTCATCAGACATTACTCTTAACAAGTTACAGCCCCAGGAAATCAAAAAAATATGGTTCGGCAACAGGCTGGTCTGACAATCATGCAAAATATGAACTTTGCTGCCTCCACGCTCAGCACCCACTTACAGACTAGCTACCTACATCATATTGTTGGATTCTGGAGTGGCTGCCTCCATCAATATGGCGCTGTCCAGTCCCCTCAGGGTGCAAGTTCTGTCCTGCTAGATGTGTTAATATAAGCGCAAAAGTGAGTGATCATGGGTGATGACAGCGGAGCCAAAACCACAGGCTTGGCGGGCCATTTAATTTATTTAATTTGCTATAAGAAATATTTTGCTATAAGAAACAAAATCCGCCGCCACCTTGGCGTTTCTTATAGCGAGGTGTCGCTGTATACTAGTACTGGGCTCTGAGCTGATTTGCGGCCACGCATCTTGCTGACAGCTAGTAGTATGTAATACCCATGGTACTACATGTATTTCATGTACGTACGTACATGTATATACATGTATCTTATCTCCGAGAAATCCCCGAGCCTCCTATTAATCTATATTTATGGCTTAATAATGGCGTAAATTATATAAAGTATATATTAAATTCTCCCACGAAAGACAAACCAGCTGCAGGGGCCCAGAGACTTCCGGTGTCGCCAATATATAAGCACCTAGGTATATGGTGTCTAGGTTCTGAGGATTATATTACTGGGATATACGGTATGTTAGATCGAGGTTTGACCAAGTGAAGAAATATATGCTTGCTCCTCTCTTGAGATGGTGAATTATAGTGAGACTAAATTATAAAACGATGTGTAGCCATGAAAGAGATAGTATTACTGTGATATAATCAATTGAAAGTCATGGTACAAAGTTTCTCCCGTGAAACTATTGAGAGTTTCTGAGAATGGTGAAAGCAAAAGGAATACCAGATACGCATGGAGCTACATAATTGCAGACCCTCTCACACCCCAGAGCATTACATAGCCTGATTTAGCTCCTGGAATATATTTCCGAATAGGGTAGCTAGATTTTTCAATTACTGAGCGAAAGTCTCCTATTCGTTATCCATCCAGCTAGTGTCAGCGATATATTACAAGTACCAAAACAGCAGGTTGAGGTTGAGGTTGTGGGAAACCTTTGGAGTAATATCATTTGTATATCTAGTAAGCACTTGCACGTACATGTGGATATGGGTATAATTGAATAATTGCACCTCCTAGTTTCGTATTAACTGGAGGATTGCTCATGGAACCTCGTGGTTACGGCCTAGTCTTCGACCGTGTATGAGAGGCCACGCGGGTCTTCCACTTACTTAAGCTGGTGAGCACAAATTAAAACCAGGTGTTTTAAATTCTTCACCCCACTTGGCCTTGGGTGTTTGATCCTATGCCTTTTAATGCCAATATATGCATGCTGGTATTCTAGCCGCCATGCTATTTACACCATTTTTACCATCAGATTCTAATAAAGATACAGATCTATCACAGTAGGTTTGAGGACAAGTAGACATCAGGGTTAGGTAAAAGGTTTACTTCCATGTACTATACCCGAGGTGTAACCTGGTCATTTGGCCCGCCAGAGACTATGGAATATGTGTATACATGTATTTCACTCTCATCTCACTCGTATGGTAGCCGCAATTGATCAAGATACCAGTTGCCATCCAATAAGTTGGTTCAATTCATTTTTGTATTATATAATTATATTAAATGATACATCATACCAATCTAAATCATCTCCAGATGGTCTTTAATCGATCCAATGTTTTTATCGCGATTTACTAACACCTAACGCCAAAAGACAACACGGGAGAAAATAAACAAACCCAACCAGCATTGAGGGTTGAACGTGATTATATTTTCCTTGTTGCCCCATGTACAAAAGTCTTTTCTGCGACTGCTTCGTTCTTCTCGTCTGTTCCCTTATTGTATTTCACCATTCTATCCTCATGCTCAGCCGTCAATGCCAGCTTCAAACTCATCCCGTAGAGACCATCGGCGATGTTCACTGCCTCATCAGCATGCACGACTGAGTCCGGCACCGGAGTCTCCTTGGCATAGGGTTTATCGCTGAGCTGGTCAAATATGGTATCAAACGGCTCGTTGAGCTTCAGCCTCAGCTTCTTGCACTTCTTGTCGTTGTTGATACGACAATAAATGAAATCCCTGATCTCGGGGTCCAAGTCCTCCTCATAGCCCCTCTTGCGGAGCTCATCAAGGACATTCAAGACGACGTCACATAGTCCGTCTTTTCCGAGCTTGGGCTTGAAGGCACCCTTTTTGCATTCAAGGTGGCAGTCATTGACATAGATCTCCAGCGGATCACGCATGTGCTTCTTCCTCTGGTTCGCGCAGAGATCCGTGCGATAGTACGACCGATGTGTGTCCCAAATACCCATGGAGCGCCAAACCTGCTCCGTCTCGTCACCCCAAAAGCCACAGGAGCAGGGGAGGTTCTTTTTGGATGTGTGCGAGCTGAGTTTGTCAAAGTGACCAAAGTCACGGAGGCCGTTGTTCCAGTTGTGGCGCGAGATGCAAACGGGGATGGTGAACACGCCAGAGGCGGAGGGGTCTGCGATGGTCTCGGCGGAGGGGCGCTTGTCGACGCTGACGAGAATGGAGGAGTCGTCTAGTTGGCCGAGGTGGCTGAGAACTGAGGAGGTTATGACGTCCTGAAGGTTTGTAGGGTTAGTGCTAGTGCGATATAAATAGAGAGGAGGTGGAAAAGCCTACCTTGGGCATGACGCCCCAATCATCTTCCCAGTTATCACTTCCGGCAGGCCTCTCATTGTAGTGTCTGGTCTTGTCACCACGGGTGGCCCATTTGTACATGTAGCAAACAAGCTCTACGGGTTCATCTCCAAGTCCTCGGGCACGGCTCTGCTCTGAGGTTAGAGTAATGCAGGACTTGAGGTCTGCGGGACCTGTATTGTCTTTGCTGCAGCTACTAGTGGAATCTCCGGAGTTGTGGTGTGGCTTCTTGCGGCTTTGGAGGTCGGCGGTACAGGTGATATAGACCTTTTGAGCCTTCAATGCGGAGTTCAAGGCTTTGTGGAAAATGTTCTTGGTGATTTTACTGGAGGTTGTTAGTGCGAGAAACGTGTATTAGGAAGGGGGAGAAACGTGTATTAGGAAGGGGGAGAAACTTACTTTTCAATGTCGTGGTGGGTGAATTCCTTCAGCATATGGCTGTTGGACGGCAAGTAAAGTCCGGTTGAGAGGACGAGCGAAAGCATTGTTTCACCTGTTAATATTACGCTGTTATTAGCACACGTACACCTTATCAACACATCACCAAGGCCGCTATTCATGGAAAACCAACCTGAAGAACCACACTCAGCAGGATCCATCATTTCATCGTGCGCCCTCCTCAAGTGAGTCCTCGCTTGTCTTGTGCTCTCCTGAATCTTAAGGGACAACCATGCCAAATTTATATCCTGTCTCGGGGCTTCATCTTCGGCGGCCAGCCAATCGTTAATTTCGAGCAGGACAGTCGGCAGCCATCCTACAAAAGCCTTGATACCAATCCTCTTCGCGTCATTCTTCATCTTCCACATCTTCTTACCCGCCTCTTCCTTAAACTCCCTCATTGCCTTGATCCTATCATTCTCCTCTTGATAGATACCCTTCCATGTGTACTCATTATGAGATGGAGGGTGGGCCGGTCCACCCTCCCTTTCACACAACTCCCCTTCACGGCGCTTCCATCCACAGCGGGTCAAGCGGTCGAAGATGTTATTATAACCACCCTTCCAGGCACTCCCATCAGGCTGCCTCTCCGTCTCGCGCTCCTTACCTTTATACAGCCACCAATAAGTATCATCCCAATTGTATTTCCGCCCGAAATACTCATTCTCGCGGCTCCCGCGCATGCCGGTTATGTGGGCATAGAACCCAATCTGCTGCTGCGCTTCGAGCACCCCCTTAAGGCTCCCGGGCCACTCGTGGGCGTAGATGGTATCGAACATGACGGCCGTGCGGAGGAAGAGCCACGAGATGTGTTCCATCTCGACGCGGCGCGCCATGTCGGTGTCGAAGTTCTCGAGCTGCTTGTGCAGGTTCTCGATCACTTGCACGAAGGGCACGAAGGGCGTGAGAAGCTCCATGAGCTGGCCCATGCCGGTGATGACGAGGTGGAGCATCAGCTTCACGTCATCGGCGTGGGTGTGACGCTTGGCCCAGAAGAAGTCGAAGGCCATTTTGGGAGCCATCATGCCGACATTGCTCTGGGCGTGAGAAAGTCCGGACTGGTAACGAGGCAAATTTTGTCAGTATCGATCTTTTATTTTGGGGGAGTTGCCAAGAAATTGGAAATGATCGGGCTTGCAGGAAAATTAAAACACCCGGAATGACCGTCGGTGGGTTAGGGATATTTAACTTACATGGATAAGATCAGTAACAGCAGTGAAATGAGCGACAGAGCTGAGGACAAAATAGACGTTCCTCGCCTCCTCAATGTCCTCGATCGCCATAACGATCTCCTTGCAAGAGACCGTACAGCCCTGAGTGTTTTCGACGCTGCAACTCCAGCCCTCTTCACCGAGATAACGATACGCCATAGAGCCCAAGAGACCATGCGACTGCCTGAGGAAATCACCTTTCGTGGCTGCAGTGTATGTCTCGAGGAAATCGGTCGCACCAGACATGATCCAGTTCTCGGGGTTGAGGCCGAAGAACTGATTCTGGCAGATCACCGACGCCTCCGAGACGGAGAGCGGGGTGGTGCGGGAAGGGGAAATTGGGGGGAGGAGAAGATCCTCGAGGGGAGGGGGGTACGCACGCGAAATTAAACGACGCGGAAAATGAATGGAGATATCAGTCTTGTTACCTCCATTGCCAATATTATCAGCAGTAGCAGTAGAGGCAGCGGGAGCTGGCTCTGAGATGGGGTAGCTTCCGATAATGTGCGACGCTTCTACAAGGGTTTTAGATGTTAAGAAGAGGAGCAGCGGAGCTGCGATCGGAATGGTTCCGAACTTCATGGTGCACGGTGGGTTTGGGTGTGAAGCGAGATTCACCTTTTTTCGTGCGAAATGGGCGATTCGGCGGTGGGCAGGGGCTTCTATTTATTTGATTCTTGCTAGCGGCGAGAAATAGCTGTGACTCATTAATTCCACAGACCGTATTTTGAGGATCTGTGGCTGATCTATAATTTACGCATGACGTCTTGATATGCCATACAGCGGTATCATTTGCGTGCCGGGGGATTATAATGGGTCTATCTTCCCGCCGCCAGTATAAATGTAGTCACATAAAACCTAGAAAATCAGTTAGACACTTATGCTACCAATGATGATGTCTTGAAAAATTATTCACGGAAGGTTGACTAGTCGTTTCGAAGGTTAATATGGATTCCCAATCAGGATTAGCGCCAAGAAATTCTGCTGGTGAGATGTCATGACGCAGACTATTTTTGGGAACACAAACTTTCTGTACAGGTATGACGTCTGATATATGTTATCACAACTAGTGGGAGAAAAAAAACTCTGCGAAAAAAATCTTTACTAGGAGGTTTGTCGGATATATGACCGTATTATATATATACCTGGGACAGAAACAAAGTTCGCCAATATCGCCGGGGTGAACGTTATAACTCCTCGTCGAGCAGCACATTTTCTGAAAAATATTTTTGTGAGTACCTTGGTGTTTGCACTACATGTACATGTAGTTATGACATGGCTTATGCTTGTCTGTAATGATATATCCGTATCACCAAATTTATTGGTCTAGGCATCATAATGATGCGCTCTCAAATTCAGAAGTTTCGTTTATTGGTTTTAATTTTATAAAGGTCATATGGAGAGCCTAAAGAAAGTCACAAAGATTAAACTTACCGCACGAACATGACAGGGTGTCTGTGATGACAGAAATGCGCACTCATGTACAGAATGTCACACATACGTACGTACGCCATGCCATCTCTCTCCCCCCCCCCCCCCCCCCCCAAGCAAGCGACCAAAATACATATATATGTACCTGTACGTAACACCCTCCAAGACGAGCGGCCAAAATAAACGTACGATTCCAGGCCGTCGGCGAAAATCTAGCGTGCCAATGCTCGGCTTCAGACCACGTAGTTTATAAAGAATCTGATCCATCCCCCCCCCTCTCTTCTTCCTATTAACTCATCACCATCACCATCTCTCATCTTCTCTCTAACTACCCGCACCCAGGTATTCCCTCTTGTATGCCCATGATGTAACCGCCGGGGTGTGCCTAGAGCTTCGTGTGCATGCTTATCTTCAGTTTTGTATCGCCATAGGCTGGTGGTTGGAGTGAGATGGGAGGGTTTTTTATTTTATTTTCTACTGGCCTTAGACCTGGTGTAGAGGATTTTGGTTCCTCTGGGCTTAGGGACGTGGGCGTGGGCTGCTGGTAGTGATTAATAGGGATTGAACCACTTCTATGTGGTTGTTCCAACATGGATAGTAGGTAGTTCGATTTATATAGATAAATAAAATAAAAATGGTTTCTCGTTCGTTGTGAAGCTTCTTTTCCCTCTATCATCGGTCTGTGAGATATCGTGTATTTAATTTCAACACGTACAAGTTAGGAATACATTTGCTGCAAAGCACTGTATGTGACTAAATGTAGCCAATTTGTTGTCGTCATTATCATCATTATTCGTAATCGTGTAGAACTATGTATATTATCTATTGCATATATCCACGTATATCGGATCTCACCCCAAAATAAATCCACGTCAGAATCCAGAGCTTCGCCACTGCTAAACCGGGTCTCTGCTTTATAAATCGCAATTACCGCGGACTTCTGAAAGCTCGAGGGTAAAAACATATCGAAGCGTACAGCATCGGTCATCAATACTCATAAGATATATTCAGCTACTTCTGAGTAGTATGTGTAGAAACCTCCTGCTTGTCATCAGGAAGCCTTTCCACGTTTATTTTACGGAGAATCTATAGGCCCCTTTCGGCCCAATACCTCAAGAATTCGCACCCATGTCATTGATGAATTCACAAGCATAATCCATGACTAGCCCTAACCCTAAACCATACACCTAACCCTATATTGCACTCACCCGGGAGGCGATTTTTTCTTTTAACTCATTAATTATATACAGACTTCTGCTAGAAATACCTGGGGGTAAAAAGTTTATGCTCAGTCTCCAGCTACCTGTACTGTGAGTGTTTGGATCACGGGGATTTATTACGTTGGGTGGATCATGGGCAATCACCCGAGTTCAACTGGGTGGGTTGGCGTATTCTAAGTGTTTAATTGGTCGTGGAGTGGACTGCTACTTGCTTGGTGGTTAGCTTGTAGGGTTTTGGTGGTGTTGTAATGAGATGGTTCACTTCCTCTCACTCGGTCCCACGTCGGTTGGTCAGTGTGGTTGCGTTCGTCAATTCTCGACACTAATAAATTAGAACCACACCGGAGAGCTACTTTAGAAGTCTTTTAGCAGACCCTAGCTACAAATAGTCCCGAGTCAGAGTTCATGATGGTGAGCTTGTACTCGGCCTCGAGGGTTTACGGAATATATCCATAGCGATGGGCGCGCGCGACACAAGGAGACGAGACTTGAGAAACCTTCTTCTCGTCTTGTATATACCCATAAAAGCGAGTCGAGATAATGGTCTAGCCCCGTCAAAATTCTCGAGACTTTCCGCCATGTGAGGCGCTTCGAGCTGGGAAAGGTCTGATGATATATTATCTTTTTGAATTGAAGCTTAAGAGTATATTAAAGGTCTCACTCGGTAATTTTCCTTTCAGGTCTCATTAGCACAACGGTAATGCCCTCGTATAGAAACCGAGTACGACGGCGAGTGATCCGGACTCGACCCCCGGCCGGATGAGGCTACATTCTTTTCCCCGCTTTCTTTTTTTACTTTCGCTGGATATATTTAGATGGGAAAGGAAAGTCAAGAGGCCTCGAGACATCCTCCAGACCTGGTTTTGTCTCGTCCCATGTATCAGCCCCTAGGTCTCGCCTTGCTTGACAAAAGAACCCGTGGCCATCACTACCTGAGTCCAATATCACATCGTTAAGAAGCCGAATAAACTACATAGACTAGATAAACTAGATAAATACCCAAACCATCTATCTACTCAAACTCCTCTAAAACCTCCCCAATCTTCCATCCTACCAATACCAACACCCACCCCGCACCCGTCATAACGTTGACAACCCCCCAAATAATCCACTTCAACATCCACCCGCCCCACCCGTTAAACCCTAACTCTCCAAGCTCCCCATCCTCCCCAATCCATGCCCGCTCGCCTTCACCCAGCCAAACGCCCTCTTCATCATCTCCTTCTCATACCTCTCCCCAGCGGTCCTCACCGCCTCATCATCTATCTCCTCTCCCCCTTCTAGCATAGCCACTAATACCTCTAACATCTTTCCCGCATCATGCATGGCCTGGTTCCCGCCCATGCCGCGCCCAGGTAACATTGGATGCACCGCATCACCCAGAAACCACACGCGCGGATGCCCACGCTCCGGGGCGTCGGGTGTTGCCACATCGTGACGCCAGCTAGCAGGTGGCTTCCGTGATGTCCGTGGATTGAAGGTGTAGATGTCGGTGTGTGGGATTGCGGAGATGATGGTGTTGAGGCGGGGGTCGGCGTCGGCATAGAGGGTTTTCAGGAAGGTGGAGATCTCGGCTGTGGTGAGGGTATCGAAGTTGGTGGGGAGGTTGGAGGTGGGTGTGACGTAGGAGAGCATTAGGGAGGCCAGGGTAGGGTCGTATTTATGGGAGGTGGTGGTATTGGTGGCTGGGGTGGGGAGGTAGCAGGAGGCGAAAAGAAGGTTGCGGCCGGAGGGGACGGCGACGGGGGCGCGCTTGATCTCAGGCGGTAGAAGGGCGAAAGTTTCGGGTGTGAGAGGGCCTTTGATCAGGAAGCTTTGGATCTTGGTGAGGGTTATTATATTACAGAGCCCGGCTTGAACGTTGATCTGTTAATCGAGCGTTAGTGAGGGTTCAATTGTAATTTGCAGTAGTATCAAGCTAGATTAGGCAGCGATAGACTGTAGTAAATAATAATAAGTATTCGTGGGTATTAATTAGTAGTAGTAGTAGTAGTAGTAGTAGTAGTAGTAGGAATTATTAGTAGTAGTAAAATTAGTAGTAGCACGATCATTACCACCACGTACCACCAACAGTGCTAATACCAAACGCAGGAAACGGTAACAACAAGATCAACAAAACCCACCTTAGACCCACTACCATCCGCCGCCACCAACAAATCTCCCACATCCTCCGTTCCGTCCTCAAAGAAAACCTTAATCCTCTTTCCTCCGTTCTCCCCGCTCACAACCTCATACCTTATAAACGCCTTCCCATATACAACATCCACTTCCTCTGCCAGCGCATCTCTCAGAACAACCCTATTCACGGGCGCACTCTTCGGATATGTCGGTAGTCTCGTCAGGTCGACGAACACGTCCATGCCCTTGCTATATAATATCGGGGCGCTCGCATTACCACGCCCGAACCGGGCACAGATAGTGGCCTTGACATTGGGTGTGAGGCAGCGGCGGAAGGCGTCGAGCGCTGGCGTGCCGAGGCGGATCTGGTAACCGGTGCGTTGGGGGGAGGAGGAGGAAGAGGGGTCGGGGGAGCGTTCGTAGAGTGTGTAGGAAATGTTGTACTTCTTGAGGCCGTTGGCAAGGAGACTGCCGGAGAGGCCGGAGCCGATTATTAGCACCTTAAAGGGCATTTTTCGGGATGGATATATTGGGACGCGTGGAATTGTTGTCTGTGGTGTTTGCTTGGTGTTTGCTTGGTACCGCCAACCAGTTTCTGGGGGTAGGCACTGTACCGTAGAGCAGGTAAGGTATTCCGGATCCCTGTGGTTATGCAGGTAGTCCTGTAGTCTAGATCATGGCTGTCTGAACACACTAGAGCATAGACGATAGGTGATAGGTGGACGAGCACCTGGTACTACTACTGCCTGTGTGGCTTGCATGGGTGCGAGAGGCGGGAAACAGGGTATCGGCGCACGGGGAAAGCGAAACGCCGACACACCGACATCTTGACAAGTCCCAATGGTTTTAGACCCTCCGTTCGCCCATATAAATATGTTCTTTGTATACGGCTAGTAGTAGTAGTAGTAGTAGTAGAATTATTTTCTACATTTACCCGCTATATACTCTAGATACGCAACTATGACAGGATCTGAACAGACAATTATCGAGTGGTTTGGTTAGTAATCCACTCATTCACAGATTCTCACTCACCTACCATCAATAACTAATCTCCCCCTTCCCGACAGGCGCAACAACCTACCGCCTAAAAACAAGAGGCCTTACAATCTTCCTCGATACATGGCTTGACCGCCCCTCCACTTTACCACAGTACCTATCTACGTCCGATGTTACGGAATGTGACTATATCTTCATCTCGCACGCACACTTCGACCACCTCCCCGGAGCCGACAAGATTGCCCTCCGCACGGGTGCTACAATCGTCGGGAACGGAGAGGTCATAAATGTTATGCGTGCTGCCGGCGTGCCCCCTTCGCAGCTTCTCGCAATCGCCGGAGGTGAGCGTATCCCGTTGGGTACCTCAGGTGTTGTCGCTCATGCATACCCTTCCCTCCATTGCCTTATGCCTCCTGGAGATCATTTGAGTATGCCAGAGACGCTGGATACAGCGACGGTGTATCTTGGTGGTCAAGACGGGTGCACACTTGACGTAACAAGGGGTATGACGAAGGGGTTCACTCACATCTGTAGCGCGCCCGACGAAGCATTCGCCAACGCACCCGAGGAATTCAAGGTGTTCCGAGAGTGGTTGAAGGATCGGGAAGCGAATCGATTCTCGTATTTTGACGGTGGCCAAATTATGTATAATTTTGTCATACCATATCAGGGGGTACTGCTGTGGTCTGGGCATTTGGGGGCGTATGAGGGTGTGGTGAAGAGTATGTGTCCAAAGCCAGACGTAGTTATACTTGGGGTTGCAGGGAGGGGCAATTTAGATGGTAGGCCTTTTGAAGGGTCTTCAGCGGAGATGGTGACGAGGATTGTAGAATGGTTGGGAGAACCTGAGAGGATAGTGTTTTCGCTGTGGGATGAAATGCCACTTAAACCAAAAAGAATAGATACGAGGGCGGCAAAAAAGGCAGTGGAAGAGAGGACAAAAAGTCGGGTGTGGGATTTGGTACATGCTGAAGTTGGAGTGGTGTTCGACCAGCCGAGGGGTGTAACCGATGGAAATGTAATGGATACGAAACCTATAGTATAACCACCGATAAAATACATAGAGGTTTCTTTTTGTAAACTTTAAAGGAAGAAAATTATATGCTTACTAAAAAGTTTTGTACTTTTTCTAATTACCATGATCCCCCTTCGCCGTTCCAGGAGGATTTATAGATTTAATGACACGAGTCAGCCCATTATTAAAAAAGAAGGAAGAATAGTAACAGAATAGAATTGATCGATCAATTCCTTTAACAACAAGCTGAATACCTCAGAGTTCAGCTCCTTGGTCCAAAAACCGCAGGGATGACCGCATACCTGACCTGATCAATTATGTAGCTACCACTATTTCTAGAATTGATTCGTAGTTACCTAACAATTATTTCAAATTCTTTCGGGGGCCCGATTTGATCTCAATTATCAAACATCGCAGTGTCAAAGGAACAATGAGCCAGATTGATCTTTCGTCCATAACCTCAGGTGGAGCTTTGTTGATGCATAAAAACGAGAGAATAATGTCAGTTAAGCCAAAAGTTATCAAACTATGTTATCCGACTCGTTACCATTCATCACTGCCTCTGGTATTTTATCTCGGAGAAATGGTCCGTTATAACAGTCATGGGCCAGCTTCAATTTTCAAACTAAAGGCCCGACAAGTCTAGGAAAGCTTGATTCTAGTGAGTTCTTTGAGCTCCACCTGGGTGCCTCTCTACTCCAATAAATATATCTCCTCCACTCTGGATGATCGTCCCCTCCTTGGAAGGCCAAATCCAAAACTCTGTATGTGATCTGGTTACTACTCATAGTTAGCATTATTAATCCCGGTTTAAGATAGATTTGTGATTCCTCACCATGAAACCAACTCAACTCGACCCAAAGTTTACACATAATGTTAATGGAATTGAGGCGTCAATGAGGCTATAAGGAACTCCTTGGCCTTAGTTAAAGAAATATCATCAGACCTAGGTTTACACCCTATATCAGTACTGTCCATTCAGCCCCCTTGCTACCACTCGCCATTGCTAAAATACCCCCCCCCCCCCTCTGTTATTTGATTCAACCTAGCCGTAGATGAAATCTTCGAGGGGGACAGTCGTGAGTAACCGCTTCGATTATCGAATGAGATTCCTAAATGGTGCGTTGGCCAAAAACCAAGAATAGCCCTGTAAAAAAGTAGAATGCCTATTCTGTAAAGGGTGAAAATATTTATTCGTTGGGGATTTGATATAAACTGTGAATAAGGGCCATGAGGATTGATGGCTGGTAGGCTATGCATTGAAGGAAGGGTGGTCGCCCAGTGCTAGCCATATCCTTGGCAGGGTTTTAGCACTTACCGCACCTGGCCGGGTGTTACAGCATATCCCTCAAAGTCAAACCTATGCATGATCTCAGTATAATCTTACTCTCCCAGTTATTCAGAAATCTAAAGAATACGATATTTCGGTTGACGAGTGATGAGCTGTGAACCTACACCCTTCCGCCTTCGGGGGGTTTGAGCTCTACACTTGGTTTTGTCAAATCTTCAGCGGTACCCCCGAATTTTGAATTTTTTTTTGCCGCTCGTCTCCAAAACAAAATTTCTGATAGGATCGCCAATAAACAAACCTAAGTGACCGTTTAGAATCCAGTTAGTGAGCAAACCAAGACTCTGTAAAGCGCAGAAAATGATTTTTCATTGGCTTACTGCGGTCCATGTCATTTTTATGCTGCATCTGTAATGAAATTTGGAACTTTTTAAAGATCCTGATCTCGCCTTAGCTCTCAGCAGCCCGAGTAATGGCATTAGGGGTTACCGATGAAAATCACTTGTTCCACCCGATTGTTGCTGCCGATAGCTACAGTAGGATTTCTGAGCTAGCAGTCTTATTTCCATTAGGGTTCCTGTACTAAAACTACATGTATCTTTGCCGCTTGCGTGTCTATGAGTCGGTCGACCGAACACTACACGCAGCTTGATACCAAATTACATCCATCTATATACATGTAATGCGTACATGTGATATCGGTTTCTGTGAGTATTTGTGACTGGGATACAAAAGTTATCCGCTGTTTTGTAATGATCTCCGCGTTTTGCTATCGATCTTTCCTTGGGTATTCTTTTATATTGTTTTGGCCGGGCTGTTTGTTGCCGTAGAAGAGCATGGTATTACGTGTATTCTCAGACCACCTCCATAAGGTAAAACCCCGTCCCCACGAGCTCTTTTCGGATACCATAATGAACAACTAGGTTGATTCTAAACGGCCATCCGATGTATGCACTCTATTTGGCCGCCTCGGTCGTAATAGCCAAGGCCGAATGCACAAGTTCGCCGACAGCAGCCTTGGCTAAAATCTGGATTTCTATATAAGCCCTTTTCCCTACCTCTCTCCTTCTTCTTCATTGTCATCATCCAGTATCTCTGGGGGAATTGAGGGGTTCATCTCCGCTTCCTGGAGGAACCTCAAAATCCTAAGGCTCTCGGGATTCAAGCCTCGTTTTTCCCTTGGTTTCTTGCCTTGGGAGCCTCTCTTCTCCCTCTTCCTCCTTCTCCTCCTCTCCCTCCTCTCCCTCTTCTTCTCCTCAACCACTCCCCCCTCCCTCCCCTCACCCGGAGTAGCTGATGGCTGCCAGCCATCAGCTACTCCTATGAGACTTGATCCTCCGGGTTCTGGGGTGAGGCTCGACATCAACTGGGGTAAATCCGAACCCCAGTTGTCGCTTATTGGGAGTTTCCAGGTTCGTATCTCTTCTATCTCTCTCTCTCTTTCTTAGTTGATTGTGCTAACTTTGTATCTTTCTTGGTGATAGTTTCTCCCTCCAGAAGGACTGCCAGCCACGCCTCATGCGTATATCTGTCGCTACCTCCAGAGTTGTAAGTGACTTACTAATACCCTCCTACCGTGATCTTTTGCTAACATCATTCTTTTTAATAGCTTCTTGCAAAAGGAGGGTTTGGTTGGGTATCCTCGCAGCCCTTCTCTGACAGCAAGAGAAGGGTTTGGTTGGGTATCCTTTCCTTCCTGCCTGGCCTTGGCCCCTCGAGAATGGCCTGGTGGGATATCCCAACCCCTTGTCTCCGGTTCCACCCTCAACTAGAGGAAACCGCAGCAAGGGTATGTTATCCCTCTGATCCTCTAATACTATTTCATGGTTACTTTTCTAACATCCTTTTTTCATAAATAGTATCTGCCGAGACTGTATTATCTCCGGCTGGCGCCGCTTTTGGAAGACGGAGGATTCTTTGGTCCTACGACGGACGATTGTGAGGAGGACTGGGAGGATTCCCCGGTCCTGTGCTGCGGTGTTTTCGTTTCTTTCCCCTCTTTCCTTCTTTCTCTTTTTTTTCTTTTTCCTTTGTTTTTGTGGGGGTTATCTCATCCGAGCCTTCTCCCAACTATATATTGTAAGTAGTTTATTGGGTGGTGGCCTGCCTTTGTCTAACCGCAACAATACCAGTAGTTTATTCTTCTATCACCTATGCACGTAATTAGCTCGATCGTACATATGAAAAAATAAAACCATGAGATTCATATTATCGTGCGCATTTAGCCAGCCTCCTCTTGAATTTGGGGATCTTTTAATTCCATATACGACACCGTCTTTCCTCCTATAGCTAACGTTGGCCCATATCGTCCCGAATATGTTTGCCACATCGTGAGCCCGTGTAAAGTTCACAAATACGTAACTTTCAGGTCCACTACCAAGCAGTTAACGTTACATTTAAATTTAGCTACCCAGGCTGCCGGCCCTATGCTCGGTCAGTCGTCAACGCAGGTCAACACGCTCCTGGTATCGTACCAAAGGTTTAGCCTCGTCCGACTGAATGAGATGTGCTAGTCACAGCTCCTAAGTGGCACAAGGAAGGAGTTCCGGAAAGAGCACTCATTTTTCGTTCATAGCTGGCTGTAGTAGTCTATACATGTATGTCAGTACATTTGTGTCATTTTTCCAGAACCAAAATTAAGAGCAAAGTGCGTTATTGATGGATGAAGAAGATACCCGCCAACAAAGACAGCACAAAAAAGGAAATACGAAAATATGCGTCTGCCCACTATGACAATAGATTGCTGCTACATGACCACTGCCAAAAGCCGAACAGGACGTATATAGGGGCAGCATTGTAGATGGATTATGATAAAGAGATGCGGGGAATATGTACTTTGTTTTTTGCTGAGGTATTGGGGAGAAGATTGTGGATTTGTTTAAGAGGAAGATGTATGCACGGCGGATAGCACGGAATGGATGACGTTTACAATTAACGTTGGCTTAGTCACACTTACAGGTGGAGACTCAAGCTAACAGGAAGGTTTTTTGCCTGTTCCTTTGAGCTTACTATTAATACCACATGATGTGGAGGCTGGATACTGGTTTTTTTCTATGATAATTTATAAATATCCTTATAATTATAAGGCATGTATTTACCCCTAATAAGTACTCAAAAATAATTCCTGACCGCCGAGGGGATATATGGCATTATGGGTCCGCAGCCAAGGCGGCGTGGACGGGATGGGTTGGAACATGAGATATCACTCGTGGTCACAAAAGCACGCTAGTCCGATAGCAAGTATACATGTAGGTATAATGATTGATAACAAAAGGAACAGTAGCTATGGTAAAGATACAGATGCTGTCGAGCAAAATCAAGCACAAACACAAATACAGACCACAAACTACAAACACAACCATCGACACACCTCTCGATCTATAGATCTACCCATGATCTACTCGGAAACTACTCATAATAAAATCCCCCTCTACACCAACAAACCCACCGCCGGCCACTCTATCCAATCACCAAACATCTCACCTCAATGCTCTCTCTAGTCCCCTTCTTCTCCACCGGCGTCCCCGGATGCACAAACGCCGTATGCGGCGTCCTGCCCCTCCGCCCCTCCACCCCGCCACCCACAACCGTATCGGTATCAAAACACTTGAGCAGCACCACCTCCTCATCCCTCATGCCGCTCCAATACCACCACTTCTGCCCCTCCCTGAACTTCACCCCCAGCGTGCTGCCCTCGCGGTTTGGAAGGATGTGTCTCACCGGCACCACATCCTCCTCCTCCACGCTCCTGCTGTCGGCAAACGCAAGCGGCGTATCGACGACCGGCCCGCCAATCGGGCGCCACACATTGATGATGCGCACGCGGGTGCCCGCGGAAATGATCTCCTCTGCGCGCTCGGCGGGCAGATGCTGCCGGATGCGCTGGTACGACGCGGGCACGCTCTGGTCAATGTGGACCCTCATGACGGGCGGCCGCGTGGCCGTGGGCCCCTTGCGCCGGATGGTGTGGTCGAAGATGACGACCTCCTCGAGGCCGGGGACATGCTTCTTCAGGATGTCCTTGATCTCTGGGTAGTACTCGCGCTCGATCTTGGCGTCATCGGTGAACTCCTTTTCGGTGGAGGGGACGTCAAGGACGGGCTGGAAGGCCTGCTTGTCGAGGTTGAAGTCGGCCTCGAGGCCGCGGAGGTCGTGGATGGTGACGGTGTGTGGGATGTCGATGTAGTTTTTTTGGGGGCCGGTGGCGCGGGGTTCGACGAATAAGAAGGGGGGCGCGCCGTCGGTGGTGATGGGGCCCTGGTAGTTGAGGGCTGCGGGGACGTCGCCGTAGGGAGGGTAGGTGGGTTCTGTTGCGACAGTAGGGGTAGGCGTAGAGGTGGAGGTGGAGGTTTGGGTTTGGGTTACAGTGCTCATCTTGTTTTTGCTTTTGTAGTAGTAAAGTTGCTAATTGTTGTGAAAATCGTAGTGCAAATAGTAGTAGTAGATATAGATACCCAAATACTGCCTTACAAGCTATATAGCTGGAATCGATACCTCCCAACGGCGACTCCCACAGCTCTCTATATACCCACCCACTCCCTCCCTCCTTCATACGTAGTACTCTAATCGCATCCCAATTCACACCTGATCCATGATATCTCAGCCCATTCCTCGAAGCTTCTTCCCCCATGCACCAGCACGCAATTCAATTAGAAATCACCACCCAAATTACGCAATCCGAGCTCGAGCCCTGTTTACTAATCAATCAATCCGCCAACCCAACGTCCCTCAGTTCTCCGCCCTGCCCCTTCCTAGCTACTCTCACCGTTAATTCTCCTATCCCCGTATTTTGTATGGTGCTAAGTCCGATCGAACCCAAGGGGCGAAATTGGCGTATCAAAACGTCACGGATTTCGTGCTCTGGGATTTAGTGAGTGAGTGAACGGAATATCCTCACCAGTCAACACCCCCCCCCCCCCCCCAAAAAAAAAAAAAAAAAATTTTAGTTCACTCACTTAACTGCCAGAGCCTTGTAGGTACATACTTTTAATTTTCCTTACCCGGAATTAAGATATTTAGCGAAGCGGGGATAATGGGTTTTCTCGAGAATTAACGGTACCCGTTTTACCTAAATCATCCCGCCGGGCAGATGTATCACCCCGTCACCCCGCTGCTAAGCTTTCTTTCTTGCATGACCGGGGAGCACAGAGTAATTCTTGTGACAGCCTGCAGATTGGAATCCGGAGTTAAGCACTAACTAGCTAGCTAGGATTTTGACGGTGGGTTAGGGTTGGGTGTGTATTAGTATGGTGCGCGCACTCTTAAAAGTAACACGACGGCAAATACTCTAGATGTGGCTGCAATAGATATGGACTCATAGGCGGCCAACCAGAGGGGCTCATTTCTAGCTATTTTTCCTGCACCAATGCCACAACTCAATCGATCAGGTTTGCTTGAATTCCGGGGGGGGGGGGGGTATAATACTGTTCCACTTAAGCTTGGCGCTTTTTGCATACATACATACATACATACATACATACATACATACAAAAACAGCCATTTTCAATCGCTGATATAACTTTATGGGTTCCATTTTTGATATCTATAAAGTTACATATCAGCGATTGACTTTCCGCCCCACTTTTGGCCAACCTTCAAGAGTGGGTGGGCGCACCCATAACATGAAAAAAAAAAAAAAAAAAAGAAAAAAAAAGCGGATGATTTGTAATCATACGACGTCAGTTGCGAGGGCGAGCACGGAATCTTGCTGATCGGCGCGCGCGCGCGGTGAGCATGGGATGGGACGAATTGATTGTAGGCGGTGTTTTTTTTTGAGTTAATTCTATAGATCTCCGTGTATTAATATTTTTGGTGCGGTGAGCATGAGGTCATGGGGGGGGGGGGGGGGCCGGGCTACTAATCACAAAATATCACTCGGCACGGAAGAACCATACGCCCGTCACTCGGCCCAACGTCAATCCCATCGCACATAGTACTCGTCTCAACAGCATCGAAATCGCAACTCTCATCCATATTTCCATTGACAACTCTCTACCGTTAATTCTCGAGAAACCCACTTATCCCCGCTTCGCTAAATTTATCTTAATTCTGGGTGAGGAAAAGTATGTATCTGCACGAAATCCGTGAAGTTTGATACGCCAATTTCGCCTTGGTTCGGACTTGACACATACAAATATATACGGGGATAGTGGATTATTCGAGAATTGACGGTATTTACCTCTACATCCACATCTACATCTACTTCTTCCTCTCCAACACCCCCTCCCTCGTCTCCCTCGCCGTCACCACCGCCGCCCTCTCCGCAATGCGTCCCTGCCACGCCGCCACCGCCGGAAAGCCCTCCCTCCACCCCCGCAGCTCCTCAAAATACTCGAGCACCCAGTGCCACGGCACAAACGCCAGATCGGCATAGCTGTACTTGTCGCCAACCAGATACTCCTTCCCCTGCAGAACGCCCTCGAGAACACCGAGGATGCGGTCGATCTCGGCGCGGTAGCGCGCGATGGCGCTCGGGATCTTTTCGGCGTGGTTGTGTGCGAAGTGGACGTATTGGCCGAAGTAGGGGCCTTGACCTGTGTGTTGGGGTGGTGTTAGTGTTGTGGGAGAGAGGGGGGGAGGGGGGCACGAACCGGACATCTGGAACATCAGCCATTGTGTGGCGAGGGCGTCGCTCTCAAGGTCGGGGAACGAGATGGTGTGCGCGGTGTCGTATTTCTTCACGAGGTAGAGGATGATGGCGCCGGACTCCCAGACGGTAAAGTCGTTGTTGGAGTGGTCGACCAGTGCCGGCATGCGCCCGTTGGGATTGATGGCGAGGTAGGGCGCCTTTTTATGTTCGCCTGTAGTGGGAAGATGTGGTTAGTATTGGAGAAAAGAGTATAGGAGAGAGGGGAGCGTGCCGGAGAACATGCTGATGTAGACGGTCTCGTAGGGGAGGTTGAGCTCTTCGAGGATTATGTTGACTTTCCACGGGTTGGGGCCCGCGGTGACGCTGTAGAGCGTGAATTGCTTGTTGTGGGCGGCCATTTTGACTTTTTTTTTTCTTTCGGTTTGGTTGGTTGGCGGGGTGGAGAGGGTGGTGGTTTGAGTAATTTGTGGAGTTCTGATAATTAAACAGCTGTGCTTGTGGAGTTTATATATGTAGCCACCACTACCTTCGTACCACTCTCACCTTCACCCTCATCCTCACCCTCACCACAACTACCGCCACCGTCATCATCATCATCCAACTAATTAACCAACCCTCGGGACATTTCAATAGGCCAGAATTCACCCGAGCTCATCTTCCAGCTCCAATATGCGATGCGATCGATGCGCGACGCTTGATAATAAAGACGACGGAGTTCCGGGTTTGGTATTAGTAATCCGATGTTGTTTTACTCGGATGACCCTGTAGTATATTTATATACGGAACCTCCCGGTTGGAGGTATCTCTCGTGCGAGAGAACTATGTCTTGGGTTGAAGTTGGGTGCTTGGGTGATTATTTGGTGGTTGGTGGTCGGTGGTTGATGGTTGGTAAGCAGGTAATAGTTATTCAGAGGTGCTAAGGTAAGTACCGGGGAAATATCGGCGCCCTAATCATATGCCGTGGTTGACAGTGCAGCCTGGAATCGATGTCACACGGAGGCTCTGTGGGGGGGATCGCAGGTGTCTTTTATTGAGAGCGCAGTTTATAAGACTAAAGAGATCGTATATAACACATTTTCGTTAAGAGCCGACAACTAAACCCGTTCCTTATCTTGATACAGTCGAATTAAAAGAAACAACAGTGTCGACATGGCAATGACAGATATCCACAGTGACAATTTCACTTGTAGGGTTCGACACCCCAAGATTGTGGATGTGCAAAACGAGTGATATCCTGTGCTGCACTCGCTCGCAACCGGTCTTGGGATAAGGTTTGGTAGAGTATGTAGACGGATCTAATCTAATCTTTGTCTGGGGGGATATTGCCATCACCACAGCAACGCAGCTACCCGGCCCAACAAAACAACACCTCTCCCACTGCACCCTGACGCCCCCGTCCGTCTCTAACCATTGCCGCCCTAGCAACCACAAACCACAAGTCTCAACACCACGACCTGCATCACGACCTTTCAATGCCACCGCCCCTCACCGCACCTCCTCCACCTCCACCACCACCACCACCGCTCACAACAACCACAACCTCCTCCCCCGACCCCCTGCAGTCCCTCGACGGCCCCAGCATCTACACCTTCCCCGTGCACCCCCACCCGCACCCGCACTCGCACTCCCACCACAGCAGAACACACAAGCACAAGCCCAAACCCAGCACCCCGCTGCGCAAGACACTCACCCACCACACGCACACAACCACCACCCACACACACACAAGCTCCCCATCACGCTCCCCGTGGCGCATCAAGGTCGTCGTCGAAGCCTCACGCGCCTCCACCCCCGACGACGACGACGACGACGCAGAATTCGAAGTAGAAGAAGAAGAAGAAGAGAGGGACATCAAGCCACAGATTAAACCACCACTACTACTACAACACCCAGCACAAATGGCGCTCAGCACAACGACAAAGACAACAAAGATCCCCCTCCGCGGCCTCAGCAGCCCCAGCGAGCTGCCGCTCCCGCACTCCACGCCCCGCGACGCACACACGCAGACACCATCACTGAAGAAGCGGCGGCCCACGCCCGCGCGCCGGCGACGCACTTTGACGCCCGCTGCTGCTGCGCGGCCCACCACCACCGCCACCACCACCACCGCGTGGGGCAATGGGCCGAAAGCCACACCGCAATCCCCCCCGCGCGGACCACAAACCCTCGAGACGCCGCGCTCCCCGCGCAAAACGCCCTCGCCGAGAAAGAAAGTACACTCCTCGCCGTCGCCGTCGCCAAGGAAGGTACGCCCGCTGCAGCTGTGGAACAGCACGCCGACGAGCAACGATGATGACATGGAGGGGTTTAGCATCATTGACACGAACAGCTTGTTGCCGGACTTTGCGTCGTCCAAGATTCCCGCTGCCATTGCTGAGGACGCCGAGGAGGACGACGACGACGACGAGGAGGAAGAGGAGGAAGAGGAGGTGCACGTGGGCAACATGCTCGCCTCCTCCTCAGACACAGAAGAAGAGCTACCAGATTTCACCTTCGCCGAAGACGACAACGACGACGATGCCGCAGCGGAAGAGGCGCCAGAGGGGATGTGGGAAGACGACCCCGTCGGCGCCGAGAGCTTCTACGGCGCCGACCACCTCCGCGGCCAATCCCAATCCCACCCACAAAGCCAAATCTTCCGCAGCTCCCCGCCAGCAGTAGCAGTCCTATCACTCAAGCGGCGCCGCGCCGCGTCCACCACGCCACGGAAGCGCCACACCGCACAACCCCTCGATCAGGACGCGCAAGAGGCGCTGGACCGCGCGAAGCTGGAAGAGATGATGGCGCTGAGCTCCGACGACGATCCGGACGCCACCGAGGAGGAGGATATCATGGACGACGACGACGACGACGAAGACGAGGAAGACGCCAACTACCCCGCCCACCCCGACGTCGAACCAGCATGGTCCGACGCGCCGCCGCTCGAGCTGACGCCGCCCGCGCTACAGCGGACGTGGGCCGCGCAGCGCGCAGGCGTGATTGCGGCTGCGGCGGGCGCGGGCGCGGCGCGGGTCACGATTGCGTCGGATGAGATTGAGGAGGACACGCTGGAGGCGGAGCGGATCGTGCGGGATATGTGGGAGGTGGAGGCGGGGCCGCGGAGCGAGGCGACGCCGGTGGTGAGGAGGGGGGGGCGGGTGGTTGAGCGGACGCCTGAGGAGGAGGAGGAGGAGGAGGAAGAGGAGGAAGAGGGGGATGATGGGGAAGAAGAGGAGGAGGAGGAAGGTGATACGATTGTTGTGGCGGGGTTCGGTGCGGAGCCAGTGGGGGGGACGCCGGTGGGGATGAGTACGAGTGCGTTTGAGGCGTCGATGGTGCGGCGGCAGCGGGAGATGGGGGGAGAAGGGGAGGGGGGGGATGTGTTTGCCGCTGCTGCTGATTCCGAGGACGAGGACGAGGACGAGCAGGAAGAGGAGGACGAAGAGGAATATGAAGAGGAAGAAGAAGGGGCTGAAGAAGGAGGCATGCAAACACCGCCAATGAAAGACCGCCTCCGCCGCACCACCCGCGAGGCGTCCGCAACACCCAGACCCATCCGTGACGCCACACCGCGGCGCGCGCTCGCAGCAACACCAAAAATACTGACCGAGAACCCGCCGTCGCCGAAAAAGGCCTCCCCCACGAAGCCCGCCCCACTACGGCGGAGCACCCCGCGAGCAACACAAACAACCACCCCAAAAACCACACGACCCACAACCACCGCGACCCCCCGCATAACAACCGAGAACCCGCCATCGCCCAAGAAAGTCTCCCCCACGAAGCCCCTCCCTACACCAACGCAGCGGCGGCGGCGGCGGCAGCCCACGCGCGCAGCCACCCCACAAGTCCTCGCCGAGAACCCGCCGTCGCCAAAGAAGGCGTCGCCGGTGAAGATGGTGCCGACGCCTTTGCGCCGGGGCACCCGGGAGGCGACGCCGCGGGTGGTGGTGGGGGGCGGGGGCGGGGGCGGGGAGAACCCGCCGTCGCCGAGGAAGGCGTCGCCAGTGAAGATGGCGCCGACGCCTTTGCGCCGCCGGGGCACGAGGGAGGCGACACCAAGGGTAGCAGCAGAGAACCCGCCGTCGCCGAAAAAGGCGCCGTCGCCGCGGAAGATGGTGGCGTCGCCGGCGAAATCGAGGGTTGAGAAGGCGAATGCGCGGCTGGCGAGGATTAGGGCTAGGAAGGCTGCTGCTGCCGCTGCGGGGGGTGGGGGGCCGAAGACGCCCGGGAGGCGAGGGCAGACGCCAGCGGGGCAGGTTGTGCCTGTACCTGTGCCTGTACCTGCACCTGCGCTGGAACCAGTCCCAGAACCAGAACCAGAACCAGTGCCAGTGCCAGTGCCAGTGCCAGAAGTGCAGACACAAGCCGTCGGCAGCAACAGAGAGCAACTAACCCCCCCAACCTCATTCAGCGCCACCCCCGACCCCCCACCGCCAAACGCCATATTCGACAATTTCCAGAAACTTGCGCCGCCCATGGTCGTGCCGGCGGCGGCGCCCGCCGAGGAGGCTGCGGTGGTGCCGGTGGTGCCCCCGGAGAGGAAGGCGTATATCACGCCGGTGGAGCCTGTGAGCGTTGTGAGGCGGAGGTGGGGGGGTGCGTCTTTCGGCAACGGCGGCGGCGGTGGTGGTGGTGGTGGTGCGAGGGAGTCGGCGTCTACATCTGCGTCGGCGTCGGCGTCGGCGTCGTTTAATACTGCACATGAGCCTGCGGCGCGCCGTGGGAGGAACTCGGCGTCGGCGTCGGTGTCGGCGGGTGCGTCGTTCAATAACAACAACAGCAACAATAGGGAGTCTGCAGCACGGAGTCAGCGCGCGTCGGCATCTACTTCGTTCAACAGCGCGCAGGAGACCGTCCCCGTCACCACCGTCCCTGCCCCTGCCCCTACCGCCCCCGCGCCCCCACCCCGCCGAATCCACCGTCCCAGCCGTACCACCACCACTACCACCACCACCGCACCTCCCCCACCCGCCCTCGCCCCCACCTGGGAAAAGCGCCACTGGAAGCTCCTCGAGCGCTACCTACACTCCCACACGCCCCTCACACCCGACATCGCACGACTAACCTACCACGTGTCAATCGACGACCCATCGCTTCTCGGCGAGGCAGTGCTTTGCGATCCCGCGCTCAACATTGTGACGCTGGACGGCGGTGAGCGGGCGCTCGTGCTGACGGGACGCGAGGTTGCCGCGGTGCGGCGATTTGTGCAGCGGATGGAGGATGAGGGCGGGGCTGTGGAGAGGGGGTGGGGGGTGGAGGTTGTTGCTGGGAAGGTTGGTGCGTTGAAGGTTGCGGGGGTGCGGAGGCGGTTGAGGGGGGAGCTTGGGGGTGGGATTGGAGGGAGAGAGGGCAGAGGGGGGAGGGGAAGGGGGGGTAGATAGTGGGGTGTTTTTTTGTGTGTTTTTTTTTTAGCTTATAATGGGTTTTCTTGCTTTCTGGTGTGTTATAGGGTGTTTTTAAGGGTTTCGTTTTTTTTATGTGTTTTTAGGGGGTTTACACTACACTACAGTCTTACGGTTGGTGCCAGCTGCGGTTATTACACTATGTAGCGAGCTAGCTATATATGTAGATGGGTGTCTTTATAGCTAGGCCTGTTTGCTTATTCACACGGAATGGAAGGGGGAGTCGGGGGGGGAGTCCGGGGGGGGAGGGGGGGCACGGTTGATATTAATATCAATACCTACCGAGTGGCTTATGTAGTTAATTTGTAGAGCCAGCTAGATATTTCTCAGCTACTGCACTAAATCCGCTAGCTGCAGTCTTTGGTGCTTGTTGCTATGCAGGTGACGGGTGATGACGGGTGACGAAAATGCGAGTGATCCCTCATGCTCCAAATATGGCTTGGGGGGTCTGAGATGAACCTAGCTACATGTACGTATATACATGTAGTAGTGGTTAGGTAGACCTTTTATGCTAGAGCTAGGGAACGAAGCAGGAGATGTGTACGTACGGATATATGTACGTATGTACAAATACTTGTAATGTCCAAGTTGTATCAATAGAGAAATACATGTATGATAAAAAAACACATCCATATGTAGATGAAGTGATAGCTTTGACCCTTGAATCCGACAGCACTCGAATTTTAGAGCCATCAATCACAAATATACATGTAGTCCTCCTTATCAAGATCTTGCAACCCCCATAGCCCTACAACCTTTTAACCTCACCTCGCAACACACCCCTAACCCTGCCAAGCTCAAACTGTCAAATTACACGGGGTACAAAAAGCTACCCAGCCGCCGGTTGTCCGGGTGAGTACGTGGCTCGAGCTCCCCATAGAAGGGGAGCTCGATATTCCCCACATAGATTTGGCTTTTGGGATTGTGTTTTGTGCCACCCCTTTGGTCTTTTTTTTTTTTTTTTTTTTGAATATAATCATGATTCGTATCGATCACGTTTGTTTCAGGGTACCTATATCACCCAATTAGCAGTGTAGATAAATGAGGGACCCGACCGAAAGTACCATTAAATAACATACCCCCCTACGATCGAGGGTTTGTACATGTACCGTGCTTTTTGATTCACATCCCCACGTGCACGAAAGTAAAGAGGGTCAAGTCCATGCGTACCGATAGTTTTGCTCTATAGTGTGGCCTCCAAACCAAGCCATAGAGGGATATGTACATACCTTAACCCTCCCCATTCCAAGTATATATACCAAATAAATATATTTCGTCACGGGGTTGCAAAAAAGACCATCCGGATCCGGTAATGGGGTGTTAGGTGTCAATGATCAATCTGACAATCTCCCCCCCTTCCTTAGTCTTGGCCAGCCAGCTTGGCATATCTCATACCGCATGGCATTTTTTATTTTTTTTCTATTTACCGGGTACCAAAAAAAGCCCTCTCCGGTCCTGCGCAACGCAAAAAAAAAACGTTTCTGCAACCCCGCCAGAATTGTCCGCGCCAATGGGAAACGACGCTGCGAGAAACAACTGTGCTGCAGGATATCGATCTTGCATGTGAGGGTTAGGGATACGTAAATGTAGTGATTGTTGTGCATGTGTTGCAGATCTGGATCGATCACCAAGTAAGCTTTATGAGATTGTGGCTGTATGTTGTCCTCTGTTACACGTGGTTAGTTTATATCAGCGTTTCTTGAGTTTGGTATACCTTCGTTAGGGAGTTCTTGGTTATGGGTATTTATGTGAAGCCCTTCCACGAGATAGAAACAGTGAGAAATAGCAGGATAAACGGTTTTCTGATGATCTGACAGTGGCCAACTAGATGGTCTACTATGGTGCGCCGGCTAGGGCGAGAGTTCCCTCTAGATTTATTGAGAGGATTTTGGTGGTTTTTGGTCTCTTACGGAAAGCTATCCATTAAGGAAAACCTTTTGGTCTGGGTGATATTAGTAACCTTGGGTCAGCGTGGGAGCTTTTCCCGACTCATGAGCAGAGCAGAGCAAAGACAGTTGATTGTTTCCGTTGGGCTGAAGCATCAAGAGTCTCTCATCTTCCATTTACCCGCATTAGAAAGTCCACCACGTATGTCCAGCCAGTGCGCCCCAAGACGTCAGGGTCGAGAGCGTAACGGTCTATGGTGGCCTTAGAGAGTTATAGATTCCCACCTCGATGGACAGCTTCTTACGCAGCTTTACTCTGAATTAGTCATAAGCTCAGACAGTTAAATAAAAGCTCTATGGAAGGCCCACAGGTCCTCTAGTGATCGTGAAGGCTGCCAAACCCAGGATATGATGTTGGGGTCACTTGTTCTCTTTCGTAGTTGGGGAAGTAGGATGCAATTCGTCCTAGGGCCTACTAGGGACATCTATCAGAGATGGCAATGACCTACGAAAAGAAAGATGGAAGCGATACTGGAGCTAAGTACATGTATTGTCAGTCGTGGGAAACCATTGCGACAGTAGATGTTGCTAACAGTTGCATTGTTAAACGTTAATGTTTTATTATCTAGTTTGAGCGGGTACGTTGTTCCAAACTACATGTATCTGTACTTTTGCACTGGAGGTGGTTTGGCCTCTAAACTATAACTATAAAGAGAGGGTCTTTACTCTCTCTTTCTCTTCTTCTTATTTCTACGTATCAGTTCATCAATGCATTCCCTACGTTCTTGGTTGTTTTCGAAGATCTTTGTGAAACATAGTGAAAAGAACCATGTCCTCATATTATAGAGCTGGAAATAATATATATCACCAGTACTACTTTGGTCACAACGAACCACCTCGCGGCAACCCCCCAATCCTCTAGATCCTTTTAAATCATTGATAATGGGTCATAATAAACATTCCTTTCGAAAAACAATAATCAACATAAAAAACCCCGTTCAAAAAAGATAGTCCCAGTCCACACAAAAATCCCATATAACCAGCACCTAAACACCCTACCCATTCCCATTCCCATTCCCATTTCCACTAATGCAAAACCTACAAAACGCCGAAATCCGCCGCGCCATTCGGCGGGATAAAGATCGCTGACATGCTCTGCTTCGCATACTCCTCCACCCTATGGGAGAAGATATACTGGTGCACCTCCGCCGCTGCATCCTCACAATCAGTCCCGACCCACACGGACAGCAACCCAAAAGCTCGGGAGACTTACCAGAATACCCCATTCCTTTCTTTGCCATCCCCAACTTCCTCGAAAAGTCCTGTACCGTCTCCGCCCTCTCCTTCCTAACATGCTGATAGACCTTTAACCTCGCCTCGACGCTCTCCGGCCTGGCCCCAAGCGGGAACAAGACACCGAGGGCTGCGCCATCCTCAATAGACTGCCCACCTCCCTGGCCGAGATGCGGCATCATGGGGTGGCATGCGTCGCCGAGCAGCGCGAGACGGCCCTTAACCCATGCTTGCAGCGGCGGGAGTGTTCGGAGCTGCCACAGTGTCACGTCACCCTCTGAGAGGTGGGTGAAAATGCGCTGGAAGCACTTTGCATAGTCCGTGTAGACGGACGTAAGTGAGAGGATGTTAGTGGGGGTGTTCCAGTCTACCACGGCCAGTCAGTCAATACATGCGCTTCAGTATGACAATAAAGCAAGTAAGCGGGATAAAAGAAGCCACTCACATCCCTCCGCCTGATCCGCCTTTCCTCCCTCCCTGAACTCGTCGGGGTGGATGCACACAAAGTTCATCAGCTCCCCATTACGGCACGGGTACATGACGATCCTGCGTTCCTTCTCGAACGCAATCTTCATCGCCCACAACTTCCCGCCGTCACGATCGGGCGTACCGAATTGTGCTGTTTCCGGGTCGGTCCGGAGCTTCGCGGTTGGGATCACGAAGCGGAAGGCGGAGAAGCCGGTTGGCACTGCGGGGGTGGTGTCGGGGAAGGCTAGTTGGCGGATTTTGGACTACAAGACATTAGTTATCTAAATGGTAGGTGAGGATGAGGGGGGCAGTACGTTGATTCCGTCGGCGCCAACAATAAGGTCTCCTTTGGACGGGATGGTGGAGGGGCCGGTGTGGGTGATTGTGCCGGCTTCGGCATCGACGCCGGTGACGAGGGTGGAGAGATGCAGGATGCAGGGCGGGTGCGGGGAGGTGTCGGGGGAGAGCGCAAGGTGCTTCAGCTCGCTGTGCAGGTCCACACGGTGGGACAGATACCATGGCTATAGAGATAGTATCAGTAAATATTCGATAGCATACATTTAGTTATAGTGATTTTATTGAGGAAGGGCTTCTCACAGATCCATGGTTTTTCTTCGCATCGGTGTTGTCGGTCGTGAATACTGTTTTCCCGGTTCCGTCAAGCATCACCGACTACGATGCCCTCATATCAGCTTTAATTCATCAATGAAAGTCAGGTCTCGAGACTCCATACAAACGAGCACTCCACCCCACTCATCCTTTCCTCCGAGTATCCAAACGACCCTAGAACTCTAGATGCATTCGGCCCCACATGGATCGCCGCGCCGACCTCGTTCGCAAATGCCGACTTCTCATACAACTATTCAACCCAACTAAATTAGCTTTCAGGCCGCTACGTATGAATCCCGGAAAAAGAGTAAGTTCAATCAATCGTACATGGACAATATGCCCCGCCTTCCTCAATGCGATAGCAGCCGACAGTCCGCCGATTCCAGCGCCGATGACGAGCACCGTGAGCGGTCCGGCAGGAGGCACAGACGCGGTCGCTGGCACTCCTGCTGGTAATTGTGTCTCTGTGGGAACGGTAGCGCTTGGAGGTGTCATATTGCTTGGTGTTTTTACTTGGTCTTTGCTTGGACGTTGCTTGGGCTTTGCTTTGACTTTGTCTTGTCTGGTTCAGTTTTTCGAAATGCTTGGATCTCTTAGTATCCCAGGTAGCTATGAAGCTTGCCTTTTAAACTTTTCTCTTCCTCTCTGGAGAAAAAGAAAGGAAAAGGGAAAAGAGGGGTGCAGCAGAGGCAGGCATGATTAATGCTTACTGTGGTGAAGATCTGATATCCAATATGATTGATGTGATGTCTGTTGTCGATTAGGTTTAGTAATTCGGGGCCAATGACCGCGGTAGGTTCCGTCATGGCCTGTGTGGTTGAAAATGCCAAGGATTAAAGGGCATTTGATGAGTGATCACTAAGTTTGTTTCCTTATCTCTGGGACGTCGTTGTAGAGTGAGTAGCTTGCTCTGCCATGGTTACATGGAATGCTAGCTACATTACATGGTCTGTCTCTCCAGATCTAAAAACATCGCATCGACAGATTATTACAAGCCTGAAATCTACTATTTCACGCCTTATTTGGGCTATCTGACAAGAAAAAGTTTATAAACATAGCCAGTAGCTAATAATGCCTCATGCGTGTAAGGGTTGCTGTACATATATGTAGCATTCCTACACCCTCAAATTCCTCTGCAATATGCACTTATCGAATCGATACGAGGAGTCTTAAAATACGAGACACAAACGAACCCTCTTCTAGCTAGCTAGGTAGCTAACCCGGCTGAAAAAAACACAATCCATCACAACTACAAGGTATATTTTGCAAAAAATCCGAGTGATTCTTTGTGTTCTCAATCGTACCACTATTGTGCAAGAAAACTGTCGTGTTTATTTATAGGGCATAAACAGATGAGGTTTAGATCGAATTCCCTGAACACTTTTTTACTCCGAGTCCTCGACGCCTTCTCACGACCTATTTGCCCGACTACTAGCAACTCCCGGATCCAAGTCAATACCATCGAAACGCAAAAACCAACTACCGTCGTATTTAGTATCATCGTCGTCCCCCTCGATATTTTACACTTCGCACGTTATTGGGCGCGCATGCATGACCAAAAGCTCCACAGCTTGCGGGGCATAAACACGTAATCGAGCAAGAACCCCCTCCAATAGCAAAAAAATATTTATAATACCCCTCTCTCGCTGCTGCTGCTGCCTTGTCGGCCGCCAATAGATATACTTTAATTCGGCGGTGAGGAACGCGATAGTTTATTTTTCAAGGAGAAGTGAGGATGAGTGGTCGCTTTGGAACAGAGATTTTCGGCCTTAGCCCGGATACGCGGACAACCTTGTGCCGGATCCCCAGTACCCCTGACAGTACGGAGGGAGATCAATGGGTGTTGTGTTCTAGAATGCCACCACCACCACTGTTGCGCCATCCATCTGGCCAAGAAGTAAGTATGATGTGCAGCAACGCAGCTGGCTTCGCTGGGCCGCCGTAAGTGTGTAGCTTTCTGTTATATATTCACGCCTGCACCTCTCATCCAGAGGTCACCGAACATCTGCACTTCCTCTTCCACTTCCTCTTCCACTCCTACTTCCACATCAACTTCACTCCCATCAAGACTCAAAAGCATATATAACCCCCCCTCTCCCCGCCCTCAAGTACATATACCTCGACAGAAAAACTTGTTAGTACCATTCCCATCGAGTGACACCCCATGAGTCCCCGCCGAACGAGCCGCCATGCTGCGGAACATCCCGAGGCCGGCCGCGCCTTTTTTCCCTCCTAACTAGCGCATGCAAGGGGTGATCGGTGATTGGGTTAGGGCCTCCATGTTGCGGTAGTGTAGTTAGCCTTGCTTAGTGCGAAGCTATGACGGATTGGGGCGGATCGTGGTTCTTGCATCGTGGTTGGATCACCTCAGTGGTGGCCTTTTTGCATGCTCATGTCCAGGCAGCTTAGTAACAAGGCCTACCATAGACTCCTGCCATGTGATGATTCATCGTGATGGGCGTTATAATTTGCCCTATCTGGATCCTCACATTGGTGACGTCTTGTCTCGAAAAAAAATATTGATTACCTAGGCCAGCTAAGTGAGTAATTAGGTAGTTGTGACGGCGACTACACTACATTCCCCCACCTGTATTTGGAGATTCAGCAGTTCAGTAGGATGGTTATACGAAAATCGTCCACTCGTACTTCTAATAACTTTGAGGATAGACCTTAATTTCACTCCAATAAAAATATACCATCTCGATTCTCAAAAGAAAACGAAAAGGAAAAGAAAAGAAAAACAATAACTCCTAACCCGTTCCTTCTCCCAATCGATAACGAATAAAAACAAAACTCCTTTTATAGATACCCCCGGCCTTCCGACCCCGATGTTGTTGTGCTCCCCTTCTAGTTGTGAAATTTATGCCCCCAGATAGCGTGACAAGAGTAGTAGGAAACCCTAAGAAACCCCAGCTATGAGGGGAGGTAGATGGTAGTAGCCATGCATGCAATCAATGAAAATAATGAAAAGAAAAACTAAAGAAAAAGAAAAAGAAACCCAATTGATAAAGAAAAAACCAATAATATAGGAAAAGCGGAAAAGTTAAAAGAAGAAAAAAGGATTACAAAGTGCCTTAAAGATGCAGATTTCCAAAATCGTGTAATATAAAAAAGAAGGTAGGATACAAAACTAGAATCACCTTATAAACAAGGGTTCTTAGCTTGTGGTACTTTTGAAAAAAGAAGTAAAACCTAGGTGTACTCAGCAAATGGACGTATATATCTATACACCACTCCTGCACCTATTATTTGAATAAGAAGGAAATATTCCGAAATTCAGGGTGAATCAATCCGAGTCGCTAGCCTCTCCGACAGTGACAACGTTCATCCTCAAGATGACCATTCCAGTGGATCCAAACATTTCCTTTCCGGAAGGCTTTGAAGTTGTTGTAGTTGTAGTAGTAGTAGTGGCAGTCGACTCCGCTCTTCCCATAATTCTCCCGCTCTTCCTGGTCTCCACGACCTTTTTCGGAATGGCAGGCTTGTTTTTTGACTTTGGAATAAGCTGTTTTCTAGCCACAGCTCTTCCAAACTCCCAGTCAGCGTCGATACGGGCCCGGGCCTTTTCACGGCGCTGGTCGTAATCGGTGACGAAATCATCGGGGATTAATCTCTTTTTTGAGATTGATAAAGCGATATTTTGCGGTTCAGGAGCAGGTGCATAAATCAAGCCTGATCTGGCCTGATGCGAGACTTTATTATCGTTATGATAATGGCTGGAAATATCTAAAAGACCTTGCCAAGTCCTAGGCACCTCCGATTCGGAAGTGATGGATGAAGTGATGCCATAATGGGCTGGACGGCCACCATCAGAAAGTTGAGAGGGGCCGGTATCAGACCCGATACCGAAGGCATAAACGAACCAGTTCTTGCTGTTTGTTTTGTATTTGGTTGTAGGATACTTAATTTCATCTTCCTCGATGGAAGTAGTAATAGCAGGTGTGATAGTGGTTTTTCTATCAGTGGCGGGAGTGGAGGATGATTTCTTATGGAGGAGGGTAGTGTTGAAGTAATGAGACTCCATGCGGAGCTTCTTCTTTGAACGGTAGGTTGGGGCAGGGGTAGGTGCAGGGGAAGTATGAGCGGAGATGGGGTTTGAAGACATTTTTATGCTATGAGGGGGTGGACGTATTAAGATCGATCGATCGTAGAAAGAAAGATCTTATGGGAAGAGATGATGTATGTTACGTGGGGAGTATATGTGAGTGTATGTAAGTATGTACGTACGCGGGAAGACAGTACAGTACAGACAGGTAAACAGAAATGTGTGGTGCTTTAAGAGTGGAGGACTGGGGATAGGATAGAAGTGAAGTAAGTGTTTGGTTGTGGGGTTGTTGTGTGTAGAGGAAGAAATAATGGAGGGGTGGTGTGTATGTAAGTAATTTCAAGTAACAATAGCGTGTGGCCAAGGGTTGAGTTTGTGGAAGGGTTTTTTTTCTTTTCTTATAAAGCCCAGTAGGGAAATCTCGGGGAGCTGGAGATGAAAAAAAAAAAAAGTGGTTCCTGCAGCGTTTGCTATGCTCTGCTAAGGCTGCGTGTTCTTCTTGATTTCTTTGCAGTGAGTTGTCTGCTGTGTGCAAGGATTTCAGTCTGAAAGACTTACAGTTACTTGGTATCTGGTTGGTATGTAGGTATGCGGTTCAACTTCGAACGGTGGAAGAAGAAGAGGTTGATCAAATAAGAATAAGGGATAGGGGTGATAGATGCTGCAGATTATTTTGCTGCTGCTTCTCTCTTTTTTTTCTCTGCTTCTACGTACGCGTTATTCAACGAAACGGGTGAAGCTGATAGAGATGAGGTGGTGAAAACCAGAAACCCCCCTGCACCGTTGGAACTCAAGTGAGGTGGTCAAGTCAAGCAAAAAAATGAGGGAAGAGAGCCGCGTCGCGTGGCTACATGCTTCACCTAACCTCAATCTAGCTCTCTCTTTCTCTCTATCTCTTTCTCTACTTCAACGCAACAAATATATCTAGATCTGGAAACAATTTCATGCTATGACATCAAAGCTCATTACATTATATCATCTAAATTCTAGCTTCCATCATCTCGCTGTCATGTCTGTCAGTCTTGTTTCACATACCCCAACTCCGTCTTTCCCCCTCCCCCCTTCCGAAACGCAACGGTTTCCTGGCAGCGGTTAAAATATGTAGGTATTTTGTTTCCAATGGGACCTGGCATGGGCCCGGGTTTTATTTACGCAGCTTCATCTTTCTGCGTGCGTCCCTAAAAACCCGATATAACGGTAGAATTGCAGCAGCGGGTAACCATGGTATTCAGCCTCTATCTAAACCTTCCTTCCGAGCAAGAAACCCAGATTCAAAGGATTGCATGATGATATGACGCCCGGGATGAAAGTGAAAAGATTTCTATGCAATTCTAGCTTCTTTACCATGGACGGGACCACTCTAAAACTCCGACCTCGGGTGCATTCGGCATCACTAGAAGCTTTGGTATTCTGTAGATCAAAACCGGATCATTAATAGCGTACCCGTGGATAGCTTCATCAGGCTACCAAAATAACGCACACATCCCACTTTGTGAGACCCTTGATTGTATATGGTGGGGTGACATCTAATTCACAGATTCAAGACTGTCTATTGTAGCATGTTGTATATATGTAGCCTGATCATATTCTACAAAAAGGGATATATGCATACATGTATCTGCTCACTCAGTGCGAAATGCGTTCATAACACCATAGAATTGTAGCTTCTCAGTCGCCGTAATAAACGGCCAAGAATGAAAAGTGTCCATGGCTGCCTTCCACCTGTGCTACCTTTGTCGTGAATTGCTCTTCTTTCCGTACCGGAAATGTTATGGCCCAAGAACGGCGCTAGCGGAAAAGAGAGGTGGCCAGGCTAGAGTTCACAAAAGGATGCCTGGAGTACGTAGTCTGAATCGAAACGACACTCCCCCGGTGGCATCTACATGTACCTGCTCTAGAACAGTTTCAGCCTCGTTCTCCTACACCAACCAAATTATGTTTTATATTCCACCTCGAGCTTGATGCTGATTTGGTACGTGAATCCATCCATCACGACGTCGACTCTCAGCATCGAGAGGATGAAAACCCATCATCTATCAAACAAAGGTATTCTGACAGCAGCAGCAGAGCCTCCAGGCATCTCGCCATCGTGAAAATGGACCGGCCCGTACGTCCCCATGCCCGCCTGTTTACTTTCGGTGTAAGATGTGTAGCAGGTTGATTGAGCATGAGACTGTTGACTAAGGCATGTTTCAGCGTCTATCGACATCCTTATAGATGAGCTAGAGATTCAACGGGGCGCCCCAGATACACAGTCTAATTCATCCATATTCTCAATTCTTGAATAGAATATAGACTTGCCCCCCCCCCCCCCCCCAAAGCAGCAGAATCGACCTAGGGGCATTTTCTGGAATTGAGTTCGCTGTTCCTGATATGTGGGCTACTACCGCAAGTCGAGACATTGACACAACATGGCTGCATGTATCAGAGAATAACCGCATTGAAGGGTGAATCTCAGAGGTAGGGCCCGTTCGAATTTAAGTTGTTTCTTACTCCCCACTGGTGTTGATTCCATTTCGTAGTTCCGGAATGAATTGAATCCCTGCATGACGGGCCAGGTTTAGCCACACTTTGTTATCCGTGGCCACCCTGACAGGGCTTGGCTCCAAGCTGTACAATTCTAAATCGAGTGATCATTCATGAACAAATTTGATTGATTGATTGATTGATGGTTTATTTCTAGTTTGTTCATTCTATGCATGCAACCTTCTGGTGACAAATTCGGCTGATTGATTGATAATTGATTTTATTCATCGAGTACATGTATGAATAAATTAGATAAGTTATCGTTAAGAATTAATTATTCTACAGAACAAGAAAAGAAAAGGAGCGAAATCCATCATCTACTCATGCACAAAAAAAACATTATGATTACAAGAAAAGAAAATTCGGCCTACACTGGAACTTAGTCCATAGCGAACCTTCCCAAGAACTTGAAAGTCTTGAGACCCTCCTCGAACTCATCTGCAATATCCTGCGCAGAGGTGTTCGCATCTCTCACATATACACCATCCTGCTCCTCAATCGAATTCACATCAAAGGCCTCGATAGCAGTACCAATCACACCAACCGGTTTTCCGTACAGGAACGCATCACGGACGATGGAAGCTGGGCGCTGTGCCGGGTATAAACTTGACGCCTTGGAGGAAGGTGCAAATAGATTTTGGGTTCCATCAACGACAATGATACCATCGAAGAGTACAGCATCAGATGCCGAGTAAGTCTGGTCGATGCCCTCCTGAATGACCTCTCCGATGATAACCGGGTTTGCGCCCTTCTCCTTGAATGCCGCAGCGATAGCCTCAGCTTGAGCGATCGAGCTAGAGCTGGATGTGCTAACAAGGATACCGACTACAAGGGTAGCAATGGTAGGAAGGGGCTCAGAGAATACAGAGACGCCGGATGTCGTGTTGTCGTGGTAGTACTTTGAGTCGGGCTCCGGAGCAGCAACTCCAATGGCCATGGCGACACGCTTGGCGAGGTCGTTTGAAATCTTGTTAAATTGAGCAATTGAAGCTTCACGGACTGCCACGGATGAGATCTTTGAGAGCTCAAATCGGGCGGCGTTGACAACTTGCTGCTGCTCGGCGGGCAAAAGGGAGTTAAAGAGGAGACGGGGCTGGGTCCAGTAGTCAAGGAAGGTGGGGGAGATGTCACGGACATAGGCGGCATCAACAATGCGGCGAGCGGGGGCGGAGAAAAAGCCGTTACCGTGGGTCTGGTTGGCCTCCTTGGGGGAGCCGTTGTTAAGGCTGTTTACGCTGTATGCAATCTTGTTGAAGGGGATCATCATCTGCCCGGCGCCGTCGCGGTTGTTGTTGTGGACAGGGACATGGGGGCGGTTCTGTAGGTTGAAAGTTAGTACTAATCTCCACCAATAACAGTAATTTAAGTACTTACAATCGGGAGCTGCTCAAAGTTGGGACCGCCGTGGCGGTTGATTTGAGTATCAACATACGAGAAGAGACGTCCTTGAAGGAGTGGGTCATCGCTGAAATCAATACCACGGACGACATGACCAGGACAGAACTGATACCGGTTAGCTGTTAACTCTTCAAGAGAGAATAGAAGGGCGGAAAGTTTACCATAGCCTGTTCAGTCTCCGCAAAGTAGTTCATTGTGTTCCTGTTCAAGACAAACTTTCCAATTGGCGTAATCGGCACCAGCTCGACTGGCACGATCTTAGTCGGATCCAATAAATCAAAACCCCATCTCAAAGCGTCGCTCTCATCCATGATCTGCACACCAACTTCCCATTCCGGGAAGTTCCCGGACTCAATGGCCTTGAAGAGATCTTCACGGTGATAGTCGGGGTTCTGGCCGTTAAGAACTAAAGCTTCCGACCACACTAGGGATGCGAGACCTTGCTTGGTCTTGAAGTGGTATTTGACGAGCTTGGATTCACCGTCATCATTGACGAAACGGAAGGTGTGAATTCCGAACCCATCCATATGGCGGAAGGAGCGCGGGATACCGTGGCCGGAGAGTGCCCTGAATAACAAATTGTTAGTCACCCGATGAGACATAATAGATTTTTCGAGTAAACTTACCACATGAGAGTATGCATAGTGGACGGATTCTGACTGAAGAAATCCCATGCAGTGTCGTGAGCTGTAGCTGCCTGTGGAATCTCGTTGTTGGGCTGCGGCTTCACAGCGTGGATAAGATCGGGGAATTGCATGGCATCCTGAAGGAAGAAGACAGGGATATTGTTGCCGACAATATCTGGGAGGGATATACATTAGTTACTGGCGATCACCCAGGAAAAACAATCTTTGATGGATAGGGTTCAAGGAGGGAAGGTAAGGGAACACATGGGGTACAAACCATAATTCCCTGCGTCAGTGTAGAAACGCAGCGCAAATCCATGGACATCTGTTTGTACAATTAGTATCTGGACGCAAGGAGGCCAAGACGCCATGATTACACATACCTCTAACAGTGTCCGCACTACCGCGAGATCCGGCAACTGTTGAAAACCTCAAGAAAACCGGGGTTTGCTTTCCCTCTTTTCCTAAGAACGACGCGGCAGTGATGTTGGACCAGTCCGCATAGGACTCGAAGTATCCGTGTGCAGCAGCACCACGAGCGTGGACTAAACCATAGTGTGAGTAAGACAACTAAAAATAAGGGATTGAATGATCAGTAGGCTAGATCGTCATTACCTGCACGCTCAGGCACACGCTCATGGTCGAATCTTGTGATCTTGGTCCTTAGAACAAAATCTTCCAAGAGAGTCGGCCCTCTCTCGCCGGCCTTCAATGAGCGTCGGTCCGAAACGGGAGTACCAAAATCGGTGGTGGTGTAGACATCCGTATCGTCGACCACGAATTGATCGAGGAAGCCATCGTCACCTGGAAGACGATCTCCTTCATAGTCGCGCTTCTTCAAGTCTGCCCCGCCGTCCATGAAGGGGCAAGCCGCATGGGCAAGCAGCGCATTGAGCAAGGTGTAGGTAATGATCGAATGCTTCATTGTGAATTGATGTGCAAAATCAAACTGCTGTGAAGCAAGAAAGGTGGGGAGCAGAGGAGAGGTGAGCCGTGGGTTTATATATCTTGTTACCTTAATTCACCTTGCACCTGGTTGGGTGAGTGAGACAATGGGGAGACTAGTTCTGGTCCAGTGGGGTTCAGTGCACCTAGCGTAGGTTGGTACTTCCCGCCAGCAGGTGGGCCATACTCTACTGACTCGTGTGTACAGAATTACTTTCTTAGATTGAGTCAACTAATGAGTGCAAATGCATTTCTCAGCTTAGGCGGGATTAATACAGCCCAGGCTTATGGGCTTACTTCTGAGATGTTTTTTTTACTACAGATTATTCTAGCGGCCATGGCCTGAACCGAAAACATCGATTGATAGGATGTATGAGGTATGCACTTGTCTAGAATTCCAGGTGCTGTAATCATCCGCTTGGCATTTTCTAAGCCCTGGTACCTGATTTGCTACTGAACTAACTTGTTCCCTGTTCTATGCGTAAGGGGAAAAAAGAATGTAGGTAAGATAATTATATACCTTCCAAGACTTTAGTACAGATCTCCAGCTATCGAGGTTTGTAATACCATAGGAGGCCTGACACAGAAGAGCCGACTAAAAGATGAAAATTAAAGTGGATACCCACTTGAATAATTTCCATAAGTTATAAAAGATGTGTGGATGAGAAAGCACCCATATTCTAGACTCTAGCTTACGTTGAGTGAGTTGTTCATAATCCGGTATAAAAGTCGTCTCCACGTACTGGTACTAAAAAAAAATAAGGGTCTTGGCGAGATGTTTACTGACATTACCTAGGGCTTGGCATCGACCTTCTACTCTAACCAGAGTGCTTTACTGCAACCCGGGAAAATCGATGTCAAATTAACCTGCCAGGAACATGATGTATTCACTGAAACTACTATTCGCGCCAAGAGGCATTTATAACAAGTGATGATAAGGTTTTAATTCTGCAAGCACAAATCTGTACATGCACCCCGATCGAGTGGCACAGAGCGGACGGAATTCTCTCCATGTGTAGAGTAGGTAGAGTACAACCCCACCAATTGATGGACAATCATTGCTCTTTGTTATTTATACTCTGTTTTAGAGTATGTCTACCTACGTGGGTACCGTGGTACTGGTGACCCCCTTTCTACCTGTCCATATCCCTTAATCTTTTTAAACTTCAATTCAAAAACTGTTGTACAACATGCACAACGTAGGGAGCTACAGATACCTAATCTAGAGTAGAGGACATCGGACGGAGCCACCGCGGTGACATGGAATAACCCCCGGGGTAAGCACCTATATTGTACTTTACTCTTCTCCTCGGTGTCATCCGTGCTGGCTTGCCGAGTGACGTTCCTAGCCCACAACTTTCTTCAAGCACCCTGGATACCGTTGTGACCATGTAGGTACCTACCTACATGTACTCCACTCCTATTGTTGATCGGCCTTCTTATGGCAAGGTACCCGGGAAAACTAACCAACTCAACCGACACCACCGGTTACTAATCCTGAACAGTCTGGAACACTTGGTTATAAACATCAAATTCACCAACCACCAACCACCTTGAAAGATCTTCCTCTGCCAAGTAACGGCATCAACCGACTTCCTTACTGGTACTTTTCCATGTCGTCACCAATAGGAACTTCGGTATTAATATGACATGTTAATATGGCTGGCTGGTACCTTCGCTCCCATATTGACGGATGGGTACACAAGTCAGGAGAAATTCAAGATTCTTTCCTTTCGGGGCTTTCATCCCAAATTTGGGGCGGGAAGTGGGAAAAGAGAAAAGCACAAATGCAGGCAACCCGCATCCGAAAGCTGAGTTTAAAAAAACGAAAGAAAAAGGGATTTATAGAAAGAGCACGGTGGTGGCTTGGATAAACAAATCTGCAATCGCAAAATGACGATTACCACTCCAAGTGCAATTATCCCGAGTTTCCCTATCCACACACATCAGCATATGCAATTGCCTGTTTTCCTTGGGAGCTCGAGGCTTACGTGTGCACGCCGTTACATACATACGTTTATGTATGTATCTTGGCTTGGGAATGGGACCGATTCACACCAGATCCATCCATCCAATCCCAGTCCTTTGAAACATCAGCAGTCGAAGGACCGTGCAATGGATCATCGAGCGCTTAAAATATAGCTCTAGCCTTTGGTTAACGTCCATAACGTGACATGAGCGTGACTGCAGCCGTCACACCCTCCAATCGCGTAATAAGCACACACAACAGGTACTCATAGCTTATTTCGGCGACCTGGAACATGTGCGTTGTTGATGTTGCAGAGCGGAAAGGGCACCTCATTGATCACCGAACGCCCATACCAAAATACACATGACTTACTTCTACCTACTCGACTTGGAGATCACGTATCGAAGTAAGAGAGTAGCTCGACCCCTTTAAAAAAGGGAGCTTTGGGAAAGAGGTTCCGGGGCGTTGAAAAGCAAAAAGAGTGTATTTCGGCGCGACACTAAAGTGCCGATACCGGTGTTTTCCGCGGGTGCCCGTATTCAACTGGTGATTCTCGTATGTTTAGTAGGTAGGTTAGTTAGATGGTGGTTGTTGCCAGCCTAACTCCTTCCTCCTATGGTATGCAGCAACAGAAGCAAGCAACTGCTTCGTCTTTAACTAGCTCGGGAGGGAAATATACTGGTCGATCTTACTTGACACGATTGATCTCACATGCATAAGTATCTTTCGTGAATTCAGAGCACGATAGGGTAGGACGTAGATAAGTGCTGACCAGCTTACTAACATAAGAAAAAGGCATGCATTCCGCGATGAAAGGAGGTCGGAGCTCGCTTGTGGGGGGGGGGGGGGGGGGTAGGATAGCTATCTGGGGAATTATATTGGATTAATTACAATGACAGAATCGTAGCCTGATCATGACCTGGGGTTTTGACTAAAGATTGGATCAGATCACGCCAGACAAGATTCGCCATTTTCCTCTTGGGCCTTTGTTTGTGTCTTGCGACTGGCCTCTTTTTTCTTACAATTGGGAACGTGGATAGGAATGTTTCCTTGAGCTTCCCGTCCTGTAAGGCAATTTTTTAGAATAAGGCATCACTGGTGAGTACTCGTAGCTTTATAGCGTTTCCGAACACGACCAATATTGCATGACATACGAAAAAGCGCCAAATCAACCTTTTTGTATGTCATGCAATATTGGTCGTGTTCGGAAACGCTATAAAGCTACGAGTACATAGAGCAGGGTATCGATGTGGATGTATCTAAATATACACAACCTACTGATCTCTTTTGGGTTGAGAGTCCTCACGTTTCAACTGTCCCGGCCGGCGTCCTGCAGCCAGCAGACTGGCGGCGAATTAGATGACGTACAGCATGGTTCGCTAGATAGAGTAGAGTACGTGCATATTTGGGTTTGGAACTACATTCGCGACTTTTCTACTCTGGGCACTATGTACTCTAGCTAGAGTAGCTATTGAATTTCAGCCATCCGCCAACCCACATGATGACTACATATCTCTCACACCTTCTTACTCTCTTGGTAGAAGACAACCAAGACGCTTAAAGCTTACTGAGAAAATCCATCATCATCATCCTGAATCTTTTGGCGCAGCGCAGCCCACGTAGGTACTTGGCTTTGTCTCTTTATTTTTTGTGTTGGTGATCACGATCAAGAATGTGTATGTATGCATAAGCTTTCTGCAGTTGGCGGGCGGTTTTTACAAACATCGGAAACTCGGATTTCAATGGAATGGAAGCTAGGTAAATAGAGTAGAGTAGAGTCTTGGGTAGTTAGATTCTTGTTCGATCGAAACTCTAGCTAGAGTTTCCGATAGACTAATAATTACACTCTGCCCATCCCGTGATCCCAGCATGCCAATGATCAAGCAACAGGAATGACAAACTCCATCTGGCCGTAACTACTTAGGTAGTCAGCTTACACCGCTGCTGGTGCCTGCGGGAGCTTCTTCATAAGATTCCTCCTCGCTGGCTCTATGGCCTGATGCCACGCCTTCGCCATCCCAATCGGGAACTCCCCATCCTCACTTCCCTGCACCAGCCCGGCCCAAGTCTCATCCACAAAGTCCGCCAACGGCATTCCTATCTCACTTCCGTTCTCAATATCTATCATCACCAGCATTAGCAAACCCCGAACAAACAGAAAAACACAATAGAAAGAACTACGCAAAACATACCCGGCTGAAACTCCTTATCATGCAACTCGGTCTGCACCGCCGGCGGCATCACCTCCAGCACCTGCACCCCCGTCCCCTCCAAGTGGACTCTCAGCGCCACCGCAAAATGGTGCAGCGCGGCCTTTGACGCGCAGTAGTTTGGGCAGCGCGACAGCGGCACGAGCGCCAGGCCCGAGGTGACATATATCAGCGCCGTCTTCTGCTGCTCCGACGACTTTGCGAGGAGGAAGGGGAGGAAGGCGTGCGTGAGGTGGATGTGCGCCGTGTAGTTTGTTGTGAGCTCCGTCTGTAGCATGGCGAGGTCGACGCCGGCGGGCTTGGAGAAGTTGAAGCCGCGCTGGATGCCGGAGTTGAGGAAGAGGGTGTCGAGGGTTGGGTGTGAGGCGGTGATCCTGTCCCGGGGGGTGTTAGTGGTGAGTTGGTTGGGGGCAAACAAGCAAACAAAACGCGGGGAGGTGGGGTGCATACTTTGCAGCCCAGCTTGCAATCTCATCCAGCTTCGTGATGTCGAACGTATACCAAAACAGCTTCCCCTCCTTGCACTTGTCGCTATACTTCTGCGCAATCTGCTCCAATCGAGCCTGCCTCCGCCCCACCAGGATCACCGTCCTGCCTTCGGCGAGGAACCTCTCTGCCATGGCGTAGCCGATGCCGCTGGTGGCGCCGAGCAGCAGGATGGTCTGGTATGGGAAGTTGGTAGTGGACATTTTGCTTTTTCTTTTCTGAATAACTTGTTGATGTGGGTAATTGCTGAAAAGACCTGTATGTAGGTATGATACAAGCTTTTTATATAGATGCGGGGAGGGGGGGCGACAGTGACGTCGGGGATGTCGGATAGGGATTTAAGCTTTCGGCATCGTTATCCCCGACTCTGCATAGCTTCCCTCTTTCTCGACCGAGAAAGTCGGTCTGATCTGATAGTCCATGTCCGACATTTTCAGGGAAGCTGGATATCTCGGCCATGAATCTGGATTACCAATTGTTCCGCACAGCCAAACCCAAGAGCTGCGAACTTTCGAGAATCGGTATATAGAACCCCATCCCGTCAAGGGAGGAGTAATTGACCGTTAGAGTCGCACAGTTGCAAGCAGAGTCACCGGAATTAGGAACATCATGAAACTAGCTCCGTCCGAGGGACAAAACTGTTAGGTGGCATTGCATGAACCCTAACCCTTAGTATACCACGGGTATGATGAGTGATAATCTGTGATCTGCGAGTGTACCTACTTCTATCAGTGTGCATGTTGTCTCTCGTCTCGTCTCGTCTCGTCTTGTCTTTTCTCGTATGTAAGGGGAGGTTGCGACAGTAGGTGCTGTACCTGCATACCGGGCTCTGTGTGTGAGTGTGCGTGTGCGTGTGTGTGTGTGTCCCTTGCTTGTTGCCTCCTGTTGATTGTGCTGTGTGGTTGGTTCGGCGGAAAGCTTGTTTCTGTCGCGCAATGGATGTACGTATTCTACGTGTCTAGCGTACTCAGACAATTACCTACATACTTACTCTCTGGCGCAAATTGATGGCATTTCCCGCCCTGAACTGAACTGTAGGAGGGGAGATGGACGTCGGAAATGATGCTGTTTTTTTCTTTTGCTTTAAATTACTGCCCCTGACCGATCGCGATGCATGGCCTCGAAGTATTGTAGAGTAATAGCTGTTACTTCGACCTGGGCGAATCATGTCAATTGCAATTGATCATGCCGACATCCACTTCATTCCAATGGTCTCTATACTCCTACTCTACATCGATGTTCCTCTCGGATCAGAAAATTGAATCTTCAGCTCCTCCTTTCTCCCCCGCCTAGAGTAGAGTGCAGCACTATGTCGCTTCCCGTTGTGCAGGTACACAATTCGAGGCCGACAGTTCCAGTTTCGTCCGATGGCCGCAATTCAAGCGCTATATATAGCTCACCTATATATGCTCTACTTACGTGGTGGAATGTCCACCAGCTACTGAGCTAGTGTTAACCGAGCGAGAGAATTAAGGATTCAGTGGCAATGGAGTGACAGTGACAGTGACAGTGACAGCTGTAAATTATTTCCCAGGGATTGGATAGATATTTCCAACTCCGAATCGCTTGCTACTTTTCTAGAATCGGTGTTGTTTTTCGCTTCGTATCCCCCTGGAGAGATCTAGAGGGAGAGAGTTGTGTAGGTTTTGAATGATGCTCTTTTCGGGCGTAACTGAACACCCGTACGAATCTTCAGCCGGTGACCATGGCATGAAGATAGACAATTTCCGTATCCGGTGGTGGTCTCAATTGCACCATGTTAGCCTCATGATCAGGAAGGAGCCCTATTCTACTCTAGAGCAAGCACAAAAATCAAAGCGGAGGCTATTCTTGCCCTTTTTTCTTTTCCCCGAGTAAAATAACCATCTCATCAGTCCGTATACGTCGACGTCGCGGCTTTCATCCGGCCGTGCTAATGATAATATGATGTTGGTTAGAAATCCAGCAGCAGATTTCAGCACCGATTACGAGGCAGTGACCGTAGAATAATACACCTCTACCTGCACTTTTGGGATCAAAAGATTTCTTGTTTTCTATTTGTCATGACTGCTGCAGCCGCAGTAGAAAAGCGTAAAGTGCAAAGTGCAAGAAGGATTTTGGATCGAATCGCACACTTTCCCATAGCCCGAGATCTAGAGTCCGGGGCAGGATATGTAAGTAAGACAGTCCCTGTAGATTAAAACAATATCAATATAACTGCTTAAACATAATAACCTATTGTCGCGCGCGTAAAGAAGCCATTTTACATACAAGCATATATCACCAAAAGGGCTCATGTGGAACTTGAGTCTGGTGAATCCTCATCCCAGCGAATCATTGTCTCTCCACCTGGACACGAACTCCGGACTAGATCCTGGGGATTCAATTGGTGGAGATTGTAGATCTGATCGCCGCATGCGTGCACTGGTTGACCGATCTCTTAAGCGGTTAGCGCCAATATATTGTAGCAGCTGAATGTTGTTATTTGAGATACTGATGCGCGATAGCTTGGTGACAGCTATGTATTACATAAATAAAAACTTAAAGGTTGGGTACTTAGGTATTGCGATTTTTTATTACCTCTTTTGTTGCGACCGTGCTCGAACGTTCTTTGGGAAATTTTGGATTTTAGTTTCCGTCATCGGAGGTCACTCGGCTTGATCGGAGCTGGTGGGGTAATCATCACGCAGTTCGCTGAAGGTAAAAGTACACCATCGACCACAATACCTCCAAGCCAATCAACCAAAAACCCTAAACACCATGCATTGTTGCGCACTGGCTTGCCTTGTGTCTTTCGAACCTCTTATCATCATAACAAAAAGAAAAAGAAAAAAGCGGGGTAATATATACAGCCAACCACATGCGTAACTACAAAAAAAAGAAAAAAAAAGAAAATAGAGAATCTACCATAAACGCCTATTTCATATAATCGACTTTATGTCTTTTTTTCACTTATTAAATGTAAATTTATCCTTAAAGTTACCCAGTCGCTGAAAGACATTGCCCTTTGAGTATCCGGGATCCCGTACTATTACTGCGTCTTGGAACTTTTGCCGCTTTGTTCGGCCGTTCCAGAAGCCGAGGACTATGGTGGGGATTATTAGGCCGTGTGCAATTGTGCACATACAGGCAGCTACCCAAGCTCCTCTCTGTGTGCAGTGTTAGTGGAGTAATCTCGGGGTAGATGGATGAATGGCAGGATGGCTTTAATTTACCTGTTCGCTACAATGTTCGGCAAAGTCCATGATTTCGATGTCTTCCTTCTTTTGAAAGCCGGTGTTGCAAACCCAGAACCTTTGGGGGACAGTCAGCGGTGAACTACAACCACCAGGAGGATTTAACAGGAGCAATTGGCACGTACATCGACTTTGGATTCCTCTTCTCCTCCGATAGAGTCAGAGCCACCAGCCCGCAGATAAAACTAATCATCGAATGCAGCAATGCCCCAGAAGCAAGGAGCCTATTCGTCAAATACCTCCCCTACAGCATCACTCCCCGTCAGCCCTGCGTCCGCGCCAAATCCACACAACCAGGAGAGGGGACTACAAACATTCGGCCAAAAGCTCACTACCAAAAATATCGCATCAAGTAAAAATATATAAGAACTAATGCTCAGCAACAATATTGTCGGTGTCAATGACAGCTCCGAATTCCACAACGGGCCCCCCTCACTGTTCTCTTTATCCTTTGTATCGACATAATGGAACAATATGTGCCCCGCCGACCCTAGCACCGCGCCTGCCGTCACCAGCGAAAACATACGCAACACCACCCGCGGTCGCGAAAGCAGCTTTGCACGGTCGGTCTTGAAGGTCTTGAGGATCGACTTGCGTGGCGGCTGAGTAGCCTTGGAGAGGAGCTTGATTGTCTTTACGCCAGTGAGAGGCCGTACTTCGATTGGCGGGGGGGAGGGCGAGCGGCTGTTCACGCCTGTGTAACCCTTTTCGGTCTTTTTAAGGGTGCTCTCGTTGTCGTTGTCGTTGTCGTTGTCGTTGTCGTCGTTATCGTCGTTATCTTCTTCATCGAAGTAACCACCTTCTTCTGGTTGGGGGGTTAGCTATTTGCAATTATAGAATGCGGGGGTGTAAATACCGTCGAGAAGACCAGACCCCTCAACATCTCGTAGGTCTCCTTCATCAGTGCTCATCGTCTGGCTCCTCGGCCGTCGACCCGTGGAGAGGGTTGAGATGTCTCGGAAGCCACCTGAAGCCATCTTGTTCTCGATGCCAATCCGTGATTAATATTATTATATGGGATGTGGAGAATAGGTGGAAAGACGATAATATCTCTGCTGTCTGAATTCACACACTCAATAGCGGAGCTCGTGAGAATAAACAAACTAGCTACCAGAAACCGGGGGGAGGAGGGGGGTTTGATCCAAAAACCCTAAAGCAAGGCAAAAAAAAAGAATGCGGGCAGGACGCGCACAACTCACAGTTTATATAAATCCCATTGTCTGTCCAGATCGTGGGTTATCATGTCTGCAGTAGCAGCTGGCTGGGGCTGATTGTGAACTGAGACATCAAGCCAATGCATGTAAGCTTTGCGAGAAACAGAAACCCTTCAAAGCTCGACCACGTTGAAAGGCTGAGGGACACACTTTTACCCAATTGTGATGGGTTGAAGCCACAGAAAGCACCTCCTCCGAATCGGGTCCCTCTTAAAATAGCGTTAGTGCTGACCCACTGCCCGCGCCGCCCCGCACCCATCCCTGCGGTTTTAAGGCTGTGAGCCGATTTCTAAAACGCTTATTTCATCAAGCATGCAGCTTGTTCTCTCAGCTTCAAAACTGAGGGGATAGTTGACTTAGTTTTCCCTATTCAAGAGGGAGGTCCGGAAGCTTGAAGCTGGAACACTTGGCTAGACGACTGGCTGCCAGGTAATTGAGAACAATTAACCATGCTCGCCATGGCCAAATATATCAACATCGTATCAGCTACATACATATTCATAGCTACGGCACAAGAGCTCTTGCCGCAACAGGTCCAGGACGGCTGTTGTGTGTTGTCGGAATGGGAATGTGGCTTTTAATTTTGCTCTAAACGGGAGGATCTCCAGGGTTGGAATGCTTGCTGCTTAAAGAAAATATCAGCCCTATGGAGTTTATTTTTGCCTATGTAGCCTCATTTGTGGCGCAGCGAGCTAACTACATGGTCATGGATTAGAAGTGGAAATGACTGAAAAGTCAATAGTTTTTGTATGTGGTAAGCGTTAGGGCGCTAAATTTCACAAGCACTACCACTATAGCCTAAAAAGTGTATCTCGTTGCTTACTACGGTTTCTAATACTGAGAAATCTTTTTAAGCTTTAAAGTACTTGTTTTTTATAGCCAGCAAGAATTGAATTTAAATTAATGAATTAGCTACTCTCGTATCAAATTACACCATGAAAAAAGAATCGTGCGGAAAATAGTCGGGCCAGTTATTTCCCCAAACGAGCGAAATTTAGAAGAGAAAGAAAAAGATTTGAAAAAAATACCCCATGTCTTCAAATTCTCCTTCCCTACCACTGTGAAGACTATCGTCGTTTCCGGTCCCGGATTACTAAATGAAAACTTTAGTAATCCCTCAAACCATCATCGTCGACTTCAACTTGGTACTTGTAGAAGGCATTCGAGAGGAGCAGATCCTCAGAAGGAGTGAGCTTGAGCTTGGTATCCTTGGTGTTCATGTTTCCAATACCGGTAAACTGCTGAATAACGACAGTGGGGTTGGTATTCATGTTCATGGAGCGAGTATACTGCTGGTTGAATTCAGGGGGGCTGGTATTTCTGGACCTAATGCCGTACTGTTGGTTAACGGTGGGGTTGGAGTTCATGCTCCTGGTGCCAATGTACTGCTGGTTGACTGCAGTGGGACTATTGTCCCTGGCCCCAACGCCAGTATATTGTTGGTTGACTGCAGGAGAGCTGTAGCCACTACGTTGGCCCTGGGCGGTATAGGACACCGGGGTCCCGGGGCTGCGTGTCGGGTAGACGTTGGAACGCTTTGGGGTACCGAGAGCCTCGCCGGAATGATACTTGCCAACTATCTGCTGAGTCCCGTGGTTGATTGCAGTATTCTCGTGATGCTGCAGGTTCATCTGGTTCATCCGCGGAATCCCGATGTATGAATCATCTTCGGGAGTGGCACGCTCCTGGAGCCACTGCTGTGCGTAATTGTAGGAAGGTGGGTTCTGCGGGTTGACCTTGGTGATGTCAAGTCTCTGGCCATTGGGGAGACTGAGGATCTTCCGGGAATCACTCGCCTTTTTGCGTAATCCTGGACCAGAGCGGCGATAGGAGCGGTTATCAGCAGAAGGGTAGGGTTCATCGTAGGTATCCGAGCCTAAAAGATCTGAAACGGCTTTCTCGTGCTGGACATACTCCTCACGGAGACGCGCGAATTCACCACTTGAGTAAGACTCCAGCTGTTGTCTTTGTTCCTGGTGAGAAGGCGGCAGCATAGACAACTTGATCTCATCTTTTTCTTCAAGCTCTCTGTAGATTGAAGTCTCCTCGCAAGGCTTATTTTGGGGAAGGAAATGGTTCGACTTTTTGACCATGGTCATTTGTTCGTGCTTAGCAACTCTTTGAGCATACGCATGCATCGACATCGGCATATCTCCGAAGCCCGGTGGAGGAGCAATGACCCGGAAAAGTTCTGGTTCGCTGTCGGAGCTGTTGTACGTCTCGCCGGAGTGGCAGTTTTCGGGAGTTACTCTGGAACCGGTACTGACTTGGTCCCATGGCTGGGAAGGAGTATTAGAATACCTTTGGCGTTTGCGCTCCTCATCACCTCGGACCCTACTTTCCAAGGCCTCTAGTCTATCGAGTTCCATTTGCCAGAATCCGCCTTCAAGCTTGAGTCTCTCATCGAAGAAGCGTTTGATTTCAGGTGAGTTATGATCGTTTTTGTGCATATATTCTTCATAGTTTTTGCCTTTTGTAACGACCGCGTTGGGTGATTCCGAGTCCTGGGCATGTTGCTTGAAGCCGAACTTTACCACGAGCTCGGTTTTCCAGGCCGGATTTTCAACTGGGGTGGCCAAAGGGTTACGATCAAGGCATTCTGCCAAGGTCAGCCCATCAGTAACTTCGGTTTCAATCTTGGTGGGTTTCCTCTGTTTCTTAGCCTTGGTCTTCCTTCTCCTCCTTCTTTGTGGACGACTACCAAACCCAAACTTTTCAACCAATTGGACTTGGTCACAGTCCATGCCATTCATGAAAAGTGCTTCTTCACCGCAGTCTGAGTCCTCATCATTATCACTAGCATCGGAATCAACATCGTCACACATAAATGGTGCAAGTTCTTCGGATGTTACGATTGGTAGCGGTTCTTGGGCGTTTTTAACATGTGTCTCAAAGATGTGGGTACGGTTGCGACTAATAATGTCGAATTTTATTTTTTTGCATTCACTGGAGAGGTGGCTGTCGCTCCTGGGATTCGGAGCGTGCTGTTCCTCGTCCTTAGAGATGGATGAAAGCGGGCCAATTGACTCTGGACGTGGGAAATGTACCAAGCCAACGTGAGCATAATTCTCAAAAATCTCTGTCGCCTCGAGATACGTCTTCTGTGTGACATATAACTGAATTGCCGGTGATATTGTGTAGTAGTCAGTTAAGACCAACTTACCATCAAGGACGCCCTGCCTCTTGATCTCAAGGCGGATATCGACTGAGCTCCATGGCCTACAGGCAACATGGTAATCCTCACGGTCGTTGTCCTCCAACCCAAGGATGTATTTTTGCTGCGAGTACTCTCTGGGCTCCCTACCACGACGCTTACGGGCCGTGAAGAGACGGCGCACTCTACGGGCATACATCTCATATTGATAGAGATAGCGAACATAAAAGTGGCGGGGCTGGTGGAATTGTTCGGGCCAAAGGCCCATGTTGATGGCCACGAGAACCCACCTTTGGGATTGATCGACGGATTCAAAACCGCCCATGGAAAGAACGGCAATGTAGAGACTCTGAAGATCGAAACCCAGGCCAGCATCCATGGGATCGAAGGCTGGATGGATGGCACTGGGGACCCATGGTGATTTGATGGCGGGATTGGGGTACCAGTTGCCAAGTGTGAACGCGGTAAGGGAGGCAAAAAATTGTGCCTGAGTGATCCTCTCGGGGAGGAGGAAAAGAGTGATTGTATTTAGATCCGCAGCCATGGCGATATTTAAATTAAAACGTGTAGGAAATTACCGGTTGGGAAAGTTTGGAATCCAAACGAATTGTGAGTGATGAGTGATGACCGAAACAAATGTGGACAATCCCAGTTAATGGTAGGTAGAGATGGGGGAAAAAAGGAAAGGAAAAAAAATAGGCTAGGTAGAAATATCCAGAGAAAAGTTAGGCGTAATTTCTTATCAAGCACAAAATGGAGAGAAAACATACACCGCGAATGTGGGGCTAGATAACTAGGTTGGTGTTGTGACAAGATCCAACACCGGGTTGAATCCTGTGCAATGGGAATTCAGTGATTGTGTTTGGCTTAATTTGAATGAAAGATTTGAGTAGCAAAAAGAGAGGATGAATTGAAGAAAGTACTGATGAAAGAATCCAAAGGATGGATGATGGGAATGAGTGAGGATGGTAAGGGAAGAGGAGGTGGAAGGGAGGAGAATGGAGGTAATGAAGTGAAGTGACAACAGAAGAGACGACGAGCGAGTGCGTTGGGCTTGGGTCTGACCCAACAGGCAAGTGTTGGTGTAGGCTAGTGTGATAGAGAGTAGCAGTACCTGGCGGGGTGGAAGGGAAAGGCAAGCCTACATGTAGGCAGCATTGATGAACACATGTACCCACTCGCTGAGTTGACTGCTACGAGGTCACATCAGGAACTACACAGTAAATACATGGATTTTTAGCAGCATTGCATCGTGAACAAGTTTCACTTATGCTTGAGAACCAAAGAACGCAAATGATGCTACATGAAAAGTAGCTATACCATGAAGCACCTATGGGCGATCCAAGTGGGTAGCTAGAGAAGGTGGGTTAAATCAACAGCAAGTCATCATGCATATAGTTTTCAGGCCCTTTTTGTATCTCAATCGTCTCGAGTTGATACTGCCTGTAGATTCGTCTTCAACGAAGTACCCACATGTTGCTCCCGCCTTTGTACAGCCCACGAGAACGAACATAAATAACAGAATCCAAATGCGGTGGGTAGCTACTATGATTTGACTATTGGTCCGATCTTTGGTCTTAGCTTAGCTCCCGCCTATGTTCACCGCTCTGTCGAATTTAGCCTTTTGTCTTTGCCATTAGATCTTTTCAATTGAGGCGGAGAGAAATGTTATAGATTTATTTGGTGGACTGCTTAGATCTAGGATTAGGGAAAGTCGGGTCAAGCGTTCCTTGTGTTTCTTGCTGAAGGTGGCAGCGGGGAGGGGGGATATGTATTCCTGAATGAATTTACATTACCGTCATAGGTTTCTAACATCACCACTCGATCAACCACAAGCCTTTCGCCTCAACACCACATTGCAAATCACCACGAGGCAGTAGCAATCAGGAAAAGCAATAACTCTTTAACTTGAGCGATGCAGGGACCTCTCTGTGCCCCAGTTTAAACGACCCGTCAAAATTCATCTCTCAAAACCCCTAATTACATCAAAAACCGTCGAATATCACCATAAAACCCACCAAACAATAGGATGTCGTCAAATAGTAGGTCTACCGCGTCTAACCCCAAACGTACTTCCTAATAATCCTGCAGTCCCTCCCCGTGTTAATAAACGAAGACAGAAGAGGAAAGGTGTCGTATAATATTCCCTCACGCTACAGGCGGGATCTCACACTCTCAGCCGTGTCTTTCCACGTCATGGGCGGGCGAGTCGTCGTTCGTGATCGAGAAAGTTTAACTAAATAAGCCTCTCGGTTCCACAGATAGAGATTTTGGTGTGGGTGCGGTCCCGGTTTCCGATGTTGATGCCGTGCAAATCTACATGTAACTTCGAAGCGGGCCTAAAGCATAATTGGACAGAGAAATAACGACTCCACACATGAAAGTACGAACTGATGGAGCTGTGGTTGAATCTAATTGATTCTAATCAACTACTTACAACAAAAGAAAAGACGAGTTGTATGAAGAATGATTGACATTCCAGTGACTATCGTTAAAAATAAAAGAATATGTACCCAGAAGGTTGCAATGATAATAATACAAAGAAAAAACAAGGTAGTACGAAGACTAGAGCAAAGACAGAGCTAAGGCTAACACAAGAGAAATAGGAAAGTAAGCCCGACCAGAATCAACAAAATATTTATATCAAAAATCCGGCCCATCTAAAACATAAAAAAATATACAAAAAAATTTGCTGCCTCCCAAAAGAAACCACAAACACCCGCACCATACCCTATATCGATACCACAAGATCAAAAATAAACCTCCCAAAAACAAAAACAAAATGTTTCCCAAAACATAAACGCCAGGCCAGCGAGACCTCTAAACTCTAGATCGCCATCCACCTCTTGTCCGAACTATTAATCGTCGAGATCGTCGACCTCTTTGATGCCCTCCCTAGACTACTCGCCGTTGATAGCGATCGTCCGCTCTCGTCCTTCCATCCCGTAAATAAGCCCATCGGTACATCTACTTCGCTGGACCCACAATGCGGCAACTCTGGTGCTACCGCCGGCGCCACAACCGTATGGTACAGCCGCCCAACAACGCCGCGCGGGTCCGGCCGGTTCTCTGGATCTCGCTGCAGCATCTCTCGACACAGGCCGAGTCCATCAGAGAATGGAATGTCCATCTTCTTCCTTGCATCTTTCATGAGGCTATCGGTGATCCACGTCTCGACCTGGCCGAGATTTGAGTGGAAAGATGAATCCGGGGGTGCGGATTCACGGGAGCGACGGTTCTTATGGGATCGGTGCGAGGCAAATGCGGTAGTCTTGCGTTTTGCGTGGAAGGTGAAGATCTCCAGGAAGATACATGCGAGTGAGAAGACGTCGGATTTGGAAGGGTTGGAAGCGAAGGCTGTCCATTGCCCGATTTGGGTGCTGTTGGTGATTGAGATACTGTCCTCCGAATGGGTTGATGATTTGCGGTAGGTGCGTCCGGAGAATATAGTGTTTGTAGGGGGGCTGGAGGATTCTTGGGATACGAGCGTTCGCTGCCAGAGCTCTGGGGCGCCGTATTCGTAGGCCTCCATGTCCTGGATTCCACCACAGTTGGGTGATTGCGGGATGTTTTGGGTAGGATCTAGGCGTTTCGAGTTGCTAATGTCCGAGAGGAAGATTCGGTTTGTTTTTTGCTCGATTATAATTGAGGATGGCTTTATATCGCCATGTGCAATTCCTCTGTCATACAGGTATGCTAGAGCATCGCTGAGACAGAGCACCCAATTGAAGATTATCCGTCGCCGTTCTTCTTTGGTATTCGACTTCCATGTTGTGGGTGGGTACTGAATAAAAGACTTGATATTGAGTTCGAGTGCCGGCGACAAAACAAGAAATCCCACATTCTCATGTGTGTATGAAAGATGCAGCTTCACTATATGGTCGTGTGTGATTGAGTTAAGGGTTTCGAGCTCTTCAAGGAAGGATTCGACTGGTAACTGATGGCTTCCGTATCCTAATGGCACCCGTCTTCGAGAATAATACACTTCCCGTGATCTTGGGAAGTAAACCTTCTCCACTGTCTGCTTCGCCGACCCAGGTTGCGTCCGTCTCGACATAACCTCCAATGGTACCAACTCCTCATCCTCAAAGTCCGTATGCTGTCCCTCCGCTAGCTCCCTAACCAGATACGCATACTGCTTCTTTGCAAACTTCTTATCCTGTGACACTGCCGGAAGCTCCAACCTCTCAATCGTTGCCATCGACAGCGGCAGATCCTCGTCGTCCCACGATCCATCAATGATGTTGAAAATATACTCTGGGCATCCCAGATCACACAATATCAGGAAAAACTTGCGTGTGTGCTCCACAATCCACTCAGAATAGGTTGCCTCTGTGAGGCCTTCTCCAAACTTCAAAGGTTCCTCTAGCTTACGCCTCAGCGCACTGTCGGTGATGCGTTCTCGTATGTATCTGGGGCAGACGGTTTCCTCAATCTTCTGCTCATCCCACCAGGTCGAGGTGAGGACTACTGGTGGTGGAAGGCTAGCGCCGTGGCCTCCGTATCCGTACATGCTGTGGAAAAAGTCTGCTCTTGCTGGGTCGGCCATCGTGAGGGCAGCCATGGGAGGAGCGGTGCAGGGCGGACCTTATACTAAAGATGATTCTCTGCTCTCTCTAGAGTAGTTTGCAATGATCACTAGGGACGCTATGGGGATCGGTTTAGTTGCCACCAGGCTAGGAAAAGTGTGGGATTTTTTTGCGCTTGGGAAAGTGACCACATGTGGGGCCCGTGAAACATTTTAGGTCCCCGAAAAGAATAGCCTCCCCCAGTGGCCCGAGGTTGTCCCAATGGAGGTTGAAAGTACGTACATGCAGTAAGAACGTTGTGCCGGGGGTGAAGGGGGGGGGGGGGGGTTGGTGGCAGGCGGGCAGGCAGTTTGAAAGAAATGGTAAGAGTAACAAATCTAGCCTTGAGACTAGGGCTTGCTTCCAAGCCTTGCTCCGATGACATGAGTAACCTTTGCCGTCGGCAACCTTGTCGCGTGTCTTGATGCCATAGCTTGCTTGGCCTCTCTGAGAGGATGTAAGGAAGAATAGGAACTGATAATCTGGTAAATGTCGTACTTCTAAAATATCATGGGGCTGTTTCTCGCGCGCTCCAAGATAGATTGATATCTGGGATACCTACATGTAATTGATAGGATATCTGTAACCTATAGATATATGTCATACATACACCATCATCTCTGATATCGAAATTGGAAGGCATGAAAAAGGGTGTAGCTATGCCAGTTACTCACAACCTATCAAATCACGTCTATCAAAATTAGAGCATCATGCCACGCGAGCTACGCATGTTCCCAGGAACAACCAACCGAGAAGGAGGGGTGTTCATGGTTAATGGGATGGGCTACATACTAATTCTCTAGTGCGCCATGCTTTTCCCTTCTATCATTCGATTCTCTTCCCCATTCTCTCGCTTAAGATTCATCATCATCGCGATAAGAAAAGAAACAGAAACGAAGGGACAAGACAAAGAGCCACCTTCTTCATCCCACATAGATATCGCTCAATTCCTAGCGTTCCCTCGCCGCCGCCGCATATCTACCAAACGGACTCGGCCCCGAGTTGGTAAACGAGATGCGAGGATGACCGTCGAGTCAGTGTAGTACAAACAAAGAGAATTGGACGGTATCTAGGGTCAACGATAGGATGCTGTGGCTTGCTGCCTAGAGTTTTCATCTCTGGAGTGGTGGTTACCGTTGGCTGTTCCACCACAACGAGCCGCCTTCCCTCTTCATGTGATAGTCGTTCTACGGTAGGGGGGGTTCGATGCGACCCCCCACGAAGTACCCAATCAATCTCCACAACCCCAGCCGATCAACTTTTTTCCGTTCCTTCCTTCGCTCGTTCGGCCCAGTTTGAGGGATAATTTTGTACCCAGCTGGCTACTGCTTTACTTGACCCTAGCAGTAGTAAGTATAAACAGGCATACCAAACCCTACCCAGCAAGCTAAGCACCAAATCTAATCTTTCCCCTGTTAATGATGTTCCGGTATTCTCCAGTAGAAAACATCGGTACCGGTACCCAGCTATATAAACTAGCTCTACAAAGCGCTTAGACGGGTACCTAAATGAGCAATTATGGGTACTGTTCTAGTAGCCATATGGGATGAGGTGTACCAGCCTAAATGGAAAACTTAACGCATATCTAGTTACTCTAGTTCACCTTTCAATACGAAGAAGAACCCCTCCACGCACTTTACCAGTGCTTGCTCAATAAATCCTTAACGGAAAATCCCTGAGCTATATAACCAGAACCCTCTCGGAAATTTACTCTCTAATTTATGTTTTGGCTTCTATCCAGCGGTGCAATCGTGTCCCGCCCATACATACATAGTTGAGAATCGCACTATCCGTGGACAGATTTTTTCATGAGGCGTTCGTTGTTGTTTTTCTGTTGAATTTGCACTCGCGGCAATGGCGTTTGCTTTTGCTTCCTCTTACGGAACCCTGTGACACCACAGTAACTCTGGAGAAGAACACTGACATGATGAGCAGCCTACATATCGATGCATCTCATCGATGGCGAACCTTTTTCAAAGAAAGCTGTGGGGGGCCCGCCGTCACTGAATCACAGACCCTTCCCATTCGCAGGGAGGGACCCTGCACTAAACCGCAAACCACGCCTTCGGGTCCTGTTATCTTTTTCGACCCTCTTTCGGGCCGGGGGGGTTGGGCAGAGTGATCAACTTGCCAAATAAAAATCACTAATAATTATCCGGAATGTCTAGCTTGTTAGCGTTCTATATCGAGAGCGCTACCCGACGGATCGGGTTTGTGCGAGTCTCCCCTATATGTACTGTATGCAGTACTTTACTCTGCAGGTAGATGTAGGTACTCGTAGCTTTATAGCGTTTCCGAACACGACCAATATTGCATGACATACAAAAAGGTGGATTTGGCGCTTTTTCGTATGTCATGCAATATTGGTCGTGTTCGGAAACGCTATAAAGCTACGAGTAGAGTATTCTCAGTCAGCCCAGAACGGGGACGTCGACAACAACGAACGAGGATGCGGATGCTAAGGAATTCGCTACTGCTGGAGAGCCTACAGTAAGCACATGTCTAACTGGATATGTTTGCAATTAATAAATACTCGTAGTAGTTCCTTTGTACATCCATACCCAGAGTACAATCCAAGTACCTAAGAAGTACCTCAAGTGGAGACTCAAATGAACAGAGTTCTCGTACATACATCTCATACATGGCTTTCTCTCCGGCCCTCAGCATTGGCACAACCACATATCATTTAGAATCCTGATCTACATTAATTAATTGGTCGATCCAAGATTAGTTTCCTGCGCTGGCCTACTTACCTAATCCACATATATTCTAGTTCTGAAGGAACGCGTAAACCAGTCTAAGGCCGCAAGGACCTCAAATAATTCATTAGTCAGGCAAGTTCATGATACCTCACTCAAGTCCTGGCTACTTCTCAGGTACAGCTCTCCTTGGGAAAATATTCTTTCTTGGGGATCAACCGGCCGGGCAAGGACAGGGACAGTTTTGTTTTTCTTCCGGCAACCCGGATTTCGACTGGAAAGAAGCAACTTCTCACATGTTACATATGTAAGGACGCTTGATTCGGCTGAATCGAAAGTAGAGTACCCTCTAGCCGTGTACACGTTCATATAAGGTCGTATGCATAGCAATATGTGCACCCCGCGCCCAGAAATAAAAGAAAGGAAAGGAAGGTGAAAAAAAAATCTAGGTGAAACCCGAATTTATGTCTCCAAATCCCGCAAGAAGCGATAAATAGCAAGCAAAACGGCTGTCGGCGGAAGGGAGAAACATAGGCCAAAGCTAATAAAGCAAATCGGTATCCTGGGACTCGGTACCCGTTGCTTACGATTTGTCCTATGTACCCCGGTGATGATTTTTCTTCTTTCCTTCAGACAATCGTGCCCTCGTGCTCGTGGGTCTTTGATAATCGGCTGTATCACACTGCTCCGCCCAATACTTTAATTTATTGTTGGGGACGAATGGTGAAATCCCAAGTATTGGGTTCAGATATTTCTTTATGGCAATAGCTATAACATACACAAAACCCAATTAGTCCTTTTTTCCTCATGAGACAGGAGCAAAAGCACACAAACAATACACGTAGCATATCGTGCTGCATACAGGCACTTCCTACTCACAGCTAAGTGTTTTCATTATGCGAATGGCCTACCGGCCGTGTCCGCTCGCATGATCCTTCGATGCGGGGTATGTATTGCAGCTTTGATACTTTTAACAGATCAATTGAGGCTTTGCGTAGCCGGAAATGAACCCCAAACCTGGAGCGAGTGTGGAGAGTCTTCAATGGAGGAGGAGCTGGAGGAGGAGTGGGAAATGATCGAAGCTGCTCCAACTAACACACACGGCAGCAAGAAGCATTGACGTTTCGTGGGGGTGACAGACACGTGGGGGCACACACTTAACGTGAGACGGCGCTCCCACTAGGCGCCCGCGCTTCTTTATCGATAAAATTTAAGCTCATCGTGCGCTAGATACCCGTCGCCCGGCCGATGCTTTGGGGGTTTTTCTTCGCAAGTCTTGGGGTGATGCGGCGCGGGGAAATCGACCAGCACACTTGAAATCGATGGGTACCAGCTAGTACCAAGCACTAAACCATGAATAAACCCCACACGAAGTTTTTTCTTTTTCTTTGTTTATTTCCCCCTGACATTAAGCTAAAGGCAGTGCTTCTCCAGTGCGCCGGTAAGTAACTACCGAATTACGGGAAGAAGTGACTTAGACATCGTGTGCGTGTCGCACAGGAGTTCCGAGTCTCCAACCTCGTGGACATTATCTCACGAGATTTTGGAATGAGCCGGAAATTTCGCCTACACGAGCTGCTAAGCCCTTGAATCATAAAAGCACCTCCGAAAGAGATTGGAATTGAAGATAAAAAGCTCTGATAGAGTGAGTCCCGAGAGTTTGTTAGGAAGTTGATACGCATTCTCCTGTCGCCTTCCTGATAACACGCCCAGATGTTTTGGAGTTGAGTGATATCTCATGCAAATACCTATACTAATGCTCTGGCGATATGAATATGACGAGCTAAGGGTTCTCGGTCTTCATGGAGTAGAGATGATCTACTGGGCCTGTTTTGGCCCCCAATGTTTCAGACGCAAGATACTAGTGCTTTGTCCAACTAAGCAACCCTGAAAAGTACGTTGTAACATTCCAGGCATGGATGCTCCTGGGGATTTTCTTCTGACAGCTTGACATCAGCCTCTTTCGAGCATGGTCCCTGCCTTCATGGCCGCGGAGAATAATGCCGTGGAAACATGAACGTGGTTTATAATTTAGCGACCAGAAAACAGCCAATACTATGTGCGAGTGATAATCCATGATGATAACAAAAAAAAAAAGGGCCCGTGTTCGTTTGGAGTCACTCGGCCCTCAAAAATATTTTCCAAACAGAATCAATATAAAGTCTTAATATAACTTTTTTTCTTATCCAATACTTCGGTTGGTACGTGCTTTTGCTTTCGTGATTAGTACTTTTACCCCTTAGATCTTGCAGTTGCCACTGATAAGAAATCCCTACCAGGTACATAGATGTACCAGT